ATTGCTGTGCAGGGCGGGTTGGATGAGTCGAATGGGAGGTTGGGTGATGTTTGGATTCTCTCGTTCTAGCATGTCTACACAATACCGTATGTGTACATAGGATCCGGACCCTCTCAGAACACTCGTATAGTTGATGTGATGGGACTGATTAAGTCTAGGTACGATTTAATTGAGAATACAGCGAAGATTACAACCATAGAAACCAATCATTTGGATATTTGCACTTGTCTTGAATTACTCCCACCGCAGACCTTCAGGAGTCTGCACTGTTCGTCTAGCCAAAACCTCTGCAACCTTCTCTCTGACTCCCTCCTTGTGACCCCACTTCTCCACGAAATCGGCCACGGTCTTGCTGGCGGATTCTGAGCTGTCTCGTACAAATTTCTCAATCTCCGCCTCGCTGGGAAGGCCATAGACGTGAGGGTATTGCTTGTAGTCGGTCTTGTTGAAGAGTGCTAGCCGGGACTCGCCCTCGGCAAGCTTGAAGAAGGCATCCACAGCATCACTGGTAACTTCCTCCAGGGTAGCTGGCTGCCATGTAGCCTGGCGAGGGGGCTTCGACATCAGACGGGCCTTGACACCCTCAACGAAGTCGGGGTGTTTCATGAACTGAGCCGCAATATGGTACTCCCGCTGGAAGGTCTCGGAAATGGACCATTGCTTGCCCACGCGCATCTGGCGCAAGGTCACCTTGAGCGATGTGGGCGAGCGAGAAGACAGGGTCTCTAATGTCTTCTGGGCCCACTCCTTCTGTACAGTCTCCTGCTCGAGAGCCCGGAAGATCTCCTCGACAGTCTTGTGTTTAAAGCAGCGGTCGATGGCGCTCCGCAGGCTACCGGCAAGGTGGATAGGCTCCTGCTCGAGCGGCGGAAGGCCGACGGAGAACTCGGCCATGGTCTTGTTGACCAGGTCCAATCGCTCGGCAAGCGACGCGTGGTCCCTAAAGACCAGCTCCGCCAGACGAGCCGTCAGGTTGCTCAAAACACTAGAGTGGAAGTAGTGTGTCGCAACACCGGCGTAGAGCGCCTGCACACCGTTGAGGCGCTCCGAGGTGAGTGCCAGATACGTGCCAAGCTCACCGTCCAGACGAGGGAGGAAGAACGAGCCACCAACGTCCGGGAAGAATCCGATGGTAGTTTCGGGCATGGCGAATACAGTACGCTCCGTCGCAATGCGGAAGGGGGCATGAACACTGAGACCGACGCCGCCGCCCATCGTGATTCCATCCATCACCGAGATGAATGGCTTTGTGTAGGTAGCGATGATGTGGTCCAGGCGGTATTCGAGGCCGAAGAAATCGGTCGACTTTTGCTGTCCTTCCGGCCCTTGTTCGTTCTGCAGAGCCAGAGAAGCGACGTCGCCTCCTGCACAGAGAGCTTTTGCGCCAGCACCGGAAAGCATGACAATGTTTGCGAGCTGGGATTTTTCCCATTCCTATTCCACCGGCTTAGCAACCAAGACGTTATCACACATTGCAGGATCCGAGTCGCCAACCTTCAACCGAGGGAGAATCTTCCGTGCCATTGACCCGTTCAACGAATTGAGCTTCTTGGGGCGATTGAGCTCAATCAATCGTACACCGTAGAGGGAGCTGAATAGGACATCGTCGGGCTCGTCGCCGGGGAGTTCTTTGGGGAGTTCGGGAGCGGTCGACATCTGTAAACCTCAATTTAGAACCATACACATCGGCCAGACTCAAGCTATAAAGCATACCTTGGCAGCCGCCCCGAATGCTGGGTTCGTCACTTTAGCGCGGAGAGGCATTGGTGGTGAAACCCGCGAGATCCAGCTCGCCGGCGTTGGTAAGCGGCAGAAACTGCGTCGAAGTAACATCTAGGCAAACGACAGTCCGTCGTTGAGGAGAAACGAACAATGAAAGGAAATGGAGAAAGTGAGTGCTTATGACTCGGGAAAGAATGTCGTTTCTCCGCTTTGGATGGACGCTTGACCTCGGAGTTTTTCGCGCTGATTGATTTTCCTCCGCCGGCAGCTTGGACAAGATCAACGGTTTTGCTGCCGAGCACATCCCCAATTCCGCGGTTACGAGCGGTTCGACAACGGAATTAGCTGAGCAACGGGAGCTGAAGATTCACATTAAGTAATGTATCTACGTGATAGCGCTGGACCGGAAATTAAGAGAATTGATGCGAAATCTTGGAGTAGACACGCTAGGAGGTTCACAAGGAGGCTTTTAAAACCTCAATGACAATTACTGTTACTGTCGATAGTCGTCGTCGCTGGCTCAAAGATGCTCATATCATGCTCAATCTATTTATACACATGGTACCATTGTTTTAATACAGTCAAAAACCGTAGATAGCCCAAGCCAAACTTATTGCACTAATACACAGCCGTGGCAGGCTTGTGGGCCAAGTCCTTTGAATGCTGAGACAGAATGCGGTCCAGCGCCTGCTTTTCAATGACCAGTCTTCCTGTCTCCAGGAGATCCTTGACGTCCACGTCCTTTCGGTCCAGGATCTTTGCGTGCTCACCCACTTTGCGCACCGTCTCGAACAAGCTTTCATTCAGCTGGTCTGTGATTAACGTTGAGCGTCCAAACTCGCGGCCCCAGCAGTTGACCTTGAAGATCTCCTTGATGAGATGTGGGGTGGCACCCTCGGGAATCGAGATTTCGTTGTCGATGATGATCAGCTGGCCTCGCTTGTACCTGTAACTCAGGGCTATCCGCCAGGCCTGGTCGTAGATCTTCTGGGGGAGACTCGTAGCAAAGTCGCGAGGGTGAGGGCCGAAAGCGACACCTCCTCCCCTTCGAATTGGAGATTTTTTGTCGCCAACACGCGCCCGACCGGTGCCCTTTTGCGCGTAGAGCTTTCTACCGCTGCCATGAACGTCGTCTCTCCACTTTGTGCTTGCGGTACCTTGCCGGGTCATGTCACCTTCGTAGACGACGGCTCGGTGAAGAATGTCTTTTCGTAGAGGCATCAAAAGATGGTTTCGAGGATATTCGACGATACGCAGGGGTTCCATCGATGGAAATGAGTAGGTGGTGGCTTTGGCGGGTGTGCCCCATGCGGGCTGGGAAACGGTCGAGGAATCTCTTGTGAGGAAATCGGTCGTAGGCTGGGCTTCTGTTGCCATGGATCTCGAAAAAGGTGTTGCCAGGCATCGCTTCTAATAGTAAGGATACATGGTCAGTATGCGAATTGTCAAATGATCATTGCGACTCAACAAGGGCAAAGTCAGTACCGTTGTGGCTTCAGCGCCCGACAGCAGGCCACTTGAGCTTCGCGAAAGCCATCTAAGAGCGTGAATAGCGTCAGATCCCGGCATTTTTGCTGTTTGATGCCCTATGTTGTTGTGTTATCGAACCAGGGCAGGTGAAGCAAAAGTTCAATCCGGGGCTTTGCGGTGGTCCGCGCTAATTGGGTGAGGCTTGGCTGTGCCGGACTGAAAAAAAGAGTTCCGTCCGACCCTCTACCACCTTTGCCCCGACCACACGATCATCACCATTTCCTCCACCGCATCCATCACACTATCTCTCGCAACAATGGCTCCTTGTGAGCGGGCCTCAAGGCCTTTGCTTCAATGCATCCAAAAGACTTATACTAGAGGATTGCCAGGCCTCCAGCTGCAGTCGACGCGGACCTTTCAATCGACCGCTCTGGCTCGCGAGGAAGCCCAGACCGAGACCCAAAGCCAACCCTTCTACAAAAACCCCGATCCGGCTCTCGTGACAAGTCCGCGATTGGAACGGAAGCTGCTGAAACAAGGTGTTGCGCCCATTGGATCCCGCCGTCGTCGAGCAGCACTGCAGAACTCCGCCAACATCCCCTTTGAGCAACTGCCCTATCAATGCTTCCAAGAAGCCCGGAAAGTATTGCTCGCAGATCGCGAGGAGAAGGTCAAGAAGATTACGGCCATGCGGGAGAAAATTGCGAGGCTCCAGGCTATCCCTACGGAGGAGGCTGGCGGCGAGCAAGTGCAGAAGTCGAGATTGCGGGCAATGGAACTGGAGCTTGAGCGTCTCAAGGTCCATGCCGATATTAACGATCCCGTCGTTAAGAAGAAGTTTGAAGATGGGCAAGGTATGAGTCAAAGAAGGAATACCATTCACTTTCAAGTCGTCACAACTAACCTTGAAATTGCAACCTAGGTGACATGACCAAGCCTATTTACCGCTTTCTGGCCGATCGGAAGTGGAGAGAGTACCGTCGCAGGATTTTGGTGCAAAGAATTACCCAAATGAAGGTCATTCCGGATGTTCTGCCTCACTGCGACCCTGTTGTGGACACCAAACTCTATTTCGGTAGAGACACAATTCAACCTGGAGAGTTCGTCAACTCCAAGGTCAGCTCGACGGCCCCAAAGCTTGATGTACAGCTATTTGAGGCCGGCGAGAAGCTCGTGACGATTGCCGTTGTCGACTCGGATGTTCCCAATGTCGAGACGGACGGATTCGACTACAAGATGCACTACCTTGCTGTTAACGTCCCCATCTCCGCTACTTCCACAAAGGTTGATCTTGCCAACCTGTCAGCGGATTCGCAGGTTGTCCTTCCCTGGCTGCCCCCGGTCGCTCAGAAGGGCAGTCCCTACCACAGACTCTCCATCTTCATCATGGAGCAAAAGGATTCGGCTCCTTTGAACTTTTCCCTGGTCAAGGGCATGGAGACGAGCCGTGACGTCCTTCTCCGGACACTGCAGGCCAGATATCACCTCAAGGCAATTGGGGCGCACCTGTTCAGAACCCAATGGGATGAGAACATGCTGGAAGTCATGAGAGAGATTGGCTTCCCCGATGCCGACGTAGAACTCCGCCGGAAGAGAGCTGAGGCTCTGCCTTACAAGAGGAGGAATCCTTCCACCTTCCGATGATCTGCTTATGTAACCTTTTGCGCTTATTTTCTGTCCATTACAGCTTTCAGGTGATAGATTTGTATTGTACAACCGACATGTATGAATATGTACACAAGTTTAACCAACTCCGAACTCCTAACCTCTGTCCCAACTATACGCTGCAATGCAAATTGGTAGCCCGGCTATGCCTCATCCAACTGAGCTGGCTGCAGTGTATTCTGCACCCATTGCATCTTCGACGGTGGCCAAACACGAGCGACGATCTTCCCGTTGATCAATCCCATAGGAATAGGTCCATAATTCCTCGAATCCCTCGACCAGGGCAGGTTGTCTCCGCCGAGATACACATGGCCTTCGGGTACCTAAGCACAGCTCCATTAGCAAACTCCAGTCACCCGCAAACCACCCGCATCTAATCCCTACCTGTATCATCTCCCGACTCGTGCCAACCTCTGTACTGAACGGCAGGTCCCTGCAGACAAAATCCCCGGGCATCCCCAGCACTCTCTTCGCACCATTGACTCCCAGGAATGTGGGATGGTAGAAGCGAACCACATCGCCTACTTCAATTCCTCGGCCGTACTTGTGCACCCGCGATATCATCAGGTAATCGCCCCTCGGGTTGAACGTTGGGTACATCGAGGGTCCCTCGCTGAGCTGCACGGTGATCAGGTGCTCCCAGACCAGAGTGCATGCGCAGAACAGGCCCAGGCCGTCGAGCGTGAGGCGGAAGACGGCGCCGGGGGTTGCGCTTCTCAGCGCGGAGCGGAATATTCGTTCCATTGGTATAATCAGGGCATTTCTGGGCTGTTGATGGTCTGTCTGGTTCTGGTGAGCTGATTGGAGCTATCTACCTCTTATTAGTGCTTGTAGGCGGAGAGGCGGAACGGCCGAGCCCAGTCACGTGCTGTGGTCTTTCGTTTAAAATTCTTTTCGCACTTGCGGTCCCTTCTGCTTTTGTTTTCATTCCTTCGGCTTCGAGAAGCGGAGGCAGACTGTTCCCACAACCATTATGTCTGGTATGGGTCGAGTCACCTGGTCTCGCTCTACATTGAGTGATTACCATCGTCGAGGAAATCAAGTTGCGTAATGGCCGTGTTCAATGGATTCTCGATTGTGCAAGAATCTCAAGCTGCAATTGCAGTCGACGACAATTCACTGATTGATTTGTATTGGGAATCTCCAACAAGCACAGTTACTAGTCCCCAATTCCTATCAATACAGCTTCTAAATTGCTAGAGCTCGCCGTTTCCGAAATACAACACCAGGACGCGCGAGTGTGGACAGAGAAGCAAGATGAACATTATACGTCTCGACTAACCACAAAGTGGCGAGATATCCCCGAACGCTGTCTTAGCTTTGACCCCATTTAGCTATGGGACTGGGATGCTGGATGGCGTGGGTGGGAGACAATTAGATATGAGATAGCTTCTGTGGTAATGACATTTTTCCGTCCCTTCGTTTTCCTTCGTCGTATGATGAGACCCATGCTCTTGATAATACTAGGGAATCCATTCTCAAAATGCTCCAGGGGAGAATTTGCTGCGTGCCCGTAGATGGCTGAAGGTTCTCAGGATATCCTGCTCGGTAACCAGCCATGCACACCCAAGTCATCATACTTTACACGCGTCGTCCATCCTGTCCTATCTCTCGGTGACCCATCTTCGTCTTACTTATTCTTCCACATGGCGTCGGCATCTGTGACTATGGTCAGCAATTCACAGTTTCTCAAACATGCCCCAAAAGACTTACCGGGACTCAAGTTGGGGGGCTCGATATCCTTCCTCTTCTCCGCCTTAACCTTATAATCAACCCCAAACGCCTTGTCCCTCTCTGCAAGTAACCCATCAAGACCCTGCGGATGAGCGTTCTTGACTGTGTCTTCAGAAGTGAAGCTACCCATGAGCTGTGGAGGCCCCAAGGGAAGTGGATCTCCCCGGTCCACCTGCCAAAAATGATACGTTTTCCCGTACAGCGGAATGACCTCCCTCATCTGTGATGTTTCCGCTGCTTCCCAGGCAGGCTTTGGCACTCCGGCGGGAGCGGGCATAATCAGCATGCCGCTTTTAACCTCAAACTCATGGGTGTGCCATAATTTGCGTTCCTCGGACGGGAGGGTCTCGAATAAGCGCGGGGAAATCATGTACTCGAGGCCGATCAATCGGGCGTTAGGCTTGGTGGAATCGTATATCAGACACTGCCTGAGGTCTGCATTTCAGATCAGCTGTCGTTTTCTTGAGCGGAAGGAAGGGAGCTATGAAGACCTTCTGTAACATGTGTACAGTAATGATTCGCTTCCACAGCTCTTGTCGGATCCGACGCATAGATGTGGAATGCATTTAGATGGGCGCAGATCTGTTTGACAGGCGTGAAATCTTGCACCATGCTGGCGCCGCCTTCCAGGACACGACTTTTGGTGGAAAGAGGCGAGCCCGGGATGCCATCTTCGTCTCTGGGAATGTGTTGATGACAGGACATGGTTGCACGATACAACTCCAATTGCAAAGTTTGAGCTCAGGAAAATATAATCATAAGAACGAAGATTGTTGTCCCAATTTAATTGCAGCTCGCATCATTGCTCCGGGTCTTTATTCCGTTGAAAACAGGAGTTTCGTCTATAGCTGACGTCATGATGATTGCGAGTCAGACAACATTTGTGATATTCCCAGCTTCACCACTTGAGACGATAAACCCTTTGCAGTTTTGCGTTGCCAGCTGACTACTTGAGCAGTGCTCATGACATGAGATCTACCAAGGGTTCCTACTTCTATGCGGGGATCATCGAAGCTAAAAGGTAGTCGATCTACCCGAGAGTAACTGCGCCGACGCAATACTATAACCAATCAAATGTCATATCATGCCTCTGCAACAGCCTCGCTGACTGAGAGATCCAATTGGCCTCGGCGTTGTTATTGTCATAATAAAGGGGCCTATCTTTTGCCAGCCGAGCCGCCAGGTCCGAGGTGGCATGCCAAAGCTCATCGCTGTCAGGCAATGCGAACTGTAAGTCTGCCAGGGAGAGAAGGCTTCTTCTCCTGTTGGCGCTGTGAAGGCTATTACGCGGGCCATTTTCGCATTGAATATGACACGACCTGCCAACTTTGTAAAGGGCAAGTGCAAAGCGCTTGACTTCCTCGATGCCAACCCAGACAAAGACATCCGGGACAGAGTCGCGGCTAAACTGGTCTAAGATCGCTGGGTAGAAGAACATGTTTTTGCGAAGGCAAGTGTCAGTTAATGTCGTTAATAGACGAGAACAGCTCGTTGGGATGGTCAGGGCGAGTCGAATGTCAACGTGACTATGAGTGTCTCTGAGGCAGGCGAAAACAATCTGTAGAAGGATGCTCTGGTATGTTGCCATGGGCCAGGAGCTTTGGACTTCGGATTCAGAATTCACAACTGCCCACTTGTCCTATCAGGTTGACATCAGCTGGCACGGCTCGAAGATGTTGGCTTTGAGGATGCATCCTTGGGTGAATCAAAGGGGAACGCGGGCCAGTTACTCACTCGCTGTTCGTAGACTAAGGAACTAAGCTTGTCATGTAGTTTGATTGCATGACACTGTATCTCCTCATCCCCACTCATCCACAGTCCCATCATGACAACAGACTGCAAGAGAATCGGAGGCTCCTGGCTCGGTTCGAAAGTCGCTCTATGCAGAAACGGCCAGACGGGATGGAATTTCTCAAAATATACCTCAACATAGTGCAGGACATCGGGTTCTTTCCACGGAAGAGTACATTTCATGCGATCTTCAGCAGTCGAGCGTTTCTCCGGATCATACTGCTCATCTTGAAGTTCGCTGGTGCTGCTGTCCACGCGCAGGGTTCGAGTATTCTTCGGAATCCCCTGACGTGACAAGGTCAATTGCGACAGTGAGCATTTGAGACCTCTCCGTAAACATGCTTCGCAAGGTGTCCTACCATCGCACCGGGTCTTTCTCGAGCGACAGTGACTACACGCTATAACCGTGCGACTAGATTTCAACTCCTTGTTTTTATGTCGGGCTCGAACATGTTGGCGTAAAGTGTCACTGTATATCGAATTAGAGTCAGTTTTATTGCCGTTGCTCGAGAGGTGCTACGGGTAAGCTTACGTCCTGGAGAAGACCTTATCGCAAAACGGACACTCGCAGGCTGGCGCTTGTCCGTGGCTCGCAGAGTGCCGAATCAGGTGTTCTTTGCGCCTGTAGCTTCGACTACATCCCCGCTGGGGACAGCGAAACTGGGGACAGCGAAATAGGCCTTCGTTGATGGTGGAAGCGGTCTTCATGGCAGTGGATCTGGTTTGGACTGCGCTGCGGAGTCCGTTGCGTGCCATGTGCTGGCTATATACTTATTGAGACGCTGGTAGAGATTAGTCAAGGTTAGAGTGAGTTGAATGAGGTCCGTGAAAAAATATCCAGAGTGAGTCGTTCACATAAGGATAATGGCCCGATGGGATGCCGAATATGGGATACCGATAGATGAAATGGAGAAGAAGTTTAGGGGAGTGACTAAGGTAAAGGCACTATCCCGCTTCCTACGTGACTACCATGACTCCCCTGTACAAGGCTTAGTATCATTTAAAGAATAGGAGTCTCCTTCAAAGACCACATATTGTGGCAGTGGAATCCATTCAAGTTGTGGTTGCAAATTTCACAAAGGTGAGTACAAGTATAGTCATGATTACGCAGAGTTCAATCAATGAATCAGATCGTGCATTCAAAGCTATTTCCTTTTTCACTTGTTCACATAGCATTCTTCATCTCTCTCAAAGCTGCCATCACCTCCACCGGATCAGACTTACCGGTCTTCTTCTGGATTTCAGGATCCTATATAACAGTCAGACAATAAGTATAATTAAAGATGGAAAGGCTGGATCTTCTTACATTGACTCTCATGAATACATTGTGCAGCTATGCAACCTCGTCAGCTAGAACGGTCAAACGGCGACGGAGTCCATACCTTCTCGTCTCCGATAGTAAACTTGCCCTGGGTCTGTTGATGCTGATTTGCGTATGCTTCTAGCTTCCTAATCGGTTCTGATTGAGAGACAGCAAGACAGAACTTGACGTTACTCTTGGTGTACTCATGGCCGGGCTATACGAGATCAGTCTTCTGTATGAAAGAGGAGTGATCCCTTAGCAGCTTACATAGACTTTGGTGTCATCAGGAAGCGAGGCAAGGGTCTCGTTCAACGCTTTGTGCATCTCTTGAGCATTTCCCTCGAAAAAGCGACCACATCCTGCCGGGGTGTGAGATTCATTCAAATACAGCCGGAAAATGCACATCTTACCTGCAATGAACAAGGTGTCGCCAGTAAACACCACCTTTTCGTCCCCGTCCTGCATATAATAGCAGATACTATCTTGAGTATGGCAGGGGGTGTGCAGGGCTTTAACGGAGATCCGCTCCCCGATCTTAAACGTCTCTCCATGTGCAGGAGTCTGCGTGACTGATTTACAGTTCTTTCCTCCGATGACTGGAAGTTTGCCAAAATGTTTCAGCTGTATGTGTTAGTCAGAAGAGCGCATAAGCATAGCTAGCTAACTCACCATGTCGTCGTTGCCGCCAGCATGATCCCAGTGACTGGAAGAGCATGTTAATACTAGTCTCCCTTAGCGACTGGACGCCGAGACATACTGATGCGTGTTGACGATGGCCGTGAGTTTTATCTTTCCCGCCTTGAGCTGAGCATCAAGCTCTGGAGCTACTCTAGCAGAACATCAGAGTCAATTCCACAAGCGCGTTTTGACGAACAGCATACTCTGGCGGATTAGCTGGATCGATGATGACGGACTCTTTTGTCGGCTCGTCCGTCACAAGGTAGGCATAGTTATTGCCCTTCCCCGTCCCTGTACAATAGTGTGAGCGTCAAATATGCTTGGGTAACCGTCACTGAACAATCAAGACTGGACAATGCACGGTGTATATCCAACTTACACATAGGAATTGACTGTACATGCATGGTTCTGACGTGATGTGTCCTTGAGTATCGAGATCCACAGTATGGTCTAATCGCTCTGAGAAAGTTCATTGACGAAAGTGAATAGAGAGAGAAAATGCGGGGTGAGACTGAGATCATTTAGTAATAAGCGGTATCTCTCTCGATGAGTGAAGACTATCTGGTGCATTACCTCATAGTAGCTCCGGGTCATGTGGTTGACACTAAGCCGTATTTGGAAATTTATATACATCGCTCAATAGTCTTTCCTACGACTTGTAGCAAATGGAATGAATTTAAAGGGTATTTCTTCATCCATCCAGAATCTCTTCCAATTTGTGAGTCTTGCGAAATGAAGACGGTGGGCTGTAGACCATTGCTCAAGTCAAACTATCCCTATTGGTCTGGTATCCCACGTATCTAACCTTTCCCACCCGAACTTTTGCAGCCCTTGTAGATCATCTTCGGTATGCTGGGCATGTGTCGTACTTTCAGATCTCTTCTGCAATCGAGCTGGAGCGTTGCTCTTATCTCTAGCAATAGGAGACAAACGATTATCCTCCGAGCGAACAGCGCCCTTGAGCTGATCTAGCCAGTAATTCGAACTTTGTTCACAGACAGTGCGGATGTATCCGAGGGAAAGCGACTGTCGCGTTGTACTCCACTCTGCTGAGTTCAAGATGTGGTCCAGCCACATATAAATCGCCTCGCACTGGGGATCATTCTTCGTATTCGGTCGTCTGGTGAATGCCAGTTCATTGACCAATTCCTCGGTCAGGGCTGGTAAAAATGTAGGGTAGTCTGCCGCTACAGTCTGCAGTGGTTTGTCCCACTTGGTGAATGCTTCATCCATGGAATCGCCAAGTCTTGTAAAAGATATATTAGCTGGGGATGATCCACTAACGTTGCATATCAAAGGCAGACTTACTTTCGCCCCTTAGGCACAATGATTGAATCCTCAATTAGGACTCGGGAAAGCGAATGAGGACTTCTTCTTGACGCCTTACATATCGCTACCAGCTGGGCCGTAAAAAAAGACGAGTGCTGATCTGACTTCCTCTTCTTCCGTGGTGACTCTGAGAGATCTCCCTGGCCCACTGGATGCTCGAGAGCAGACCTGAGGATGCTCTTGATTTCTTCTACATTTCCATCGTCGGCACCGTTAGAGACCGCAGGCGCAGGCCTTCCAGATACAAGCGCCACATCAGAGTCTGTCTTCGCCCAGTAATAGTCCCAGAGCCACTCTAATGAGCGCTGCGTCGCATTGCGAAGTACCACAAGAGACGGTAACTCTCGATGGGTCGCCTCGTGACGCAGCTCAACAAACGATGCTGGAAGCCCGAGGTCAATCGCTCGTTGAAACATGGTCTTCCTCTGTCCATGGAGTTTCGAGTCAACGAGACCCGTTACGAATCTTATAGGCTAGTGTTAGATATGCATTCCGTGTCGCAAATTCATAAAAAGTGACTGACCGACAAAAAGCAGCTGAGTAGGTCGCTCGAATCGAGAATATGGAATTTTTCTGAGCATTGTCGTGAAGAATCGCGTCCGTTAATAAGGCAGTAGCCTCAACCGGATGTGGCAGGTTGCCACGGAGCTTCCAGATTCCGACCTTGGAGGCGTTAATCATGATATTCAAGCATAATGTAAAAACTACATACCGTTGCGCAGGCTTTTGAGCGCAAATCCGGTCCATCATAGGCTGGCGGAGGGTAAAATTGATTCCGGACAGTGAGCAACTGGGAATGGTCCTTCCATGGTGTAAAGAATACTTTTGCCATTTGGCTCCCTGGATCTTTCAGTTAAGAAGTACCCGTGATTCTCTCTCTCGTGAGTCTCGTTCTATTGTTTGTACCGCTGTATCTGATCGACGGGATTTTTATATCGGCGAATTGTTTTTCCTTCCGACTGTTCCCGAATCTGTTTCAATGTACATCTACAAGTCCATCTACAGTCTCCGGACAGTCGACGAGAGGTGAACAGCTGCTCTGGCAGTTGAGAATAATGCAATAGCTGAGATACCCTTGGAAATTATTACTCTCATGTTGACGCGACAGATTCTATGTTGGCGATGAAGTCCAACAAGACTCTCAACGCAAGAGCCGCTTTGAGGCACGCCAGAAGCTAAATGAGACTCTTAACAGACATGTCTGATACTGTGAATGAATGGCTGATAATGTGCGAGGCAAAAGTTGATTATCTACTCAGAATGTGTTGCTTTGTTCTCGCCAGGCTTTGACATCGCTTCTGCGGCCGACTTCAAGTCTTCAAGAATCAGACCATCTGAGTTTGGGTTGCAATTTCCTGAACGTCTTGATGCAGTTTGCACGGCTATCCAGTCGGGAAAGAGGACGCCGTGAGAGCTGGCATCTTCGCCTGTGAGGCTATCCCAACTGTCAATCTTACCTCGTGGAGATCATGGAGACGGGGACCTTATTCGAAACCGGTGATGGCATTCAATGGCTCTGACACATGGAGGAAGATTCCTCAAGCTGATGCAAGAAGCGTAATCTTCTGACGCACTCGATGCCCAGTTACGGAGCTCGACGCCAATCTGGGATGGTGAGAGCAGTTTATTAATGGCTATTGCTCGAGGGATGAGACACCATTTCAGCTGATTGATCAAGAGAGTTGACTCATCTCTTCTCAAGCTCCGATTGAACGCCAGGTGTGAAGCTTAAGGAAGAAATGAATGACTAGATTCCGAAATCAGTTACAGATCAGATCAATACACAGCTCAGAAACGAGTCTTAGTCTTAGCAAGTTGCCCATCTAGATACTATTAGTTCATTCCAGGCGGTGACTTGTATGTGGAAGCTGGTTTTTCATTGTTTTTGTAGACTCGCTAATCTTGCTGGTCTCAGTGCTAATACTTCTACTGTCTTACCCGGTCTCCCCGTCCAATATTTCCAACGGTTTGCCTTCGTTTACTAGACGTCATCGTTATAATCCATGTTCTGCTGAACAAGTGTGCCTGTTCGCCATCCCATTGAATCTCCCCTCCCTTCCTATCCCCCTTTTCCTTTTGAACTGCTCTGCTGACCTAAAATGTTCCACTTCCTTCTATTGCCCATGGAGTGGAGTCTCAACGCTTAAGGATCTAAGTGCTGATTCCCATTTCCGGGATTTTTCGAGCCGTCTTCGCGTGGCTTAGGAAAGAGCAAGACTTCCCTGTGTGATGCACCTCTAACCGGCTTACTCTATGACTGCGGCAATTTTCTCAGTAGGGAACCTCCACGCACCTCACCTGTGTGGTAGTTACCTCTATCATTTACTTCCAGATAAATCACACACTACCTCGCGCCACGTGGATTTGTCGAATTTGTTGTTTGGCAAATCCCAGCATGTGAAGCATAGAGGCTCTAGGAAGGGTGCAGGAAGATGAAGCTCTGTTGTGGTTCATAGCGTACTTCGTACCGCATTATGGATCGGCCTTTGGATACGAACAGGCAGGACAAGTCATCCTCGGTTACAACCTGATGATATGGTCTTATTCGTCCGCTGAAATAGCTCACCTCGTTTCGATCTCGAGGCTGAATCACTGGCACATGTGACTCTTCTACTAATGTGGTGATCCGTCCAAGATGGTTGATTTCCTTTTAGGCCGATTGTCCGAATAACTACTCGGCTTCGGTGATAACTAAATGGCGAGTAGGCCAACCACAGTACAAATAGCCGCTCAACCTCAGTCAATAAATGATTAACTGCACATTTCACTTGTTACATATCTCACTCACCTTGCTTCCAGGACAACCATTAGAGCCAAGATGGCCCCCAAATCTCCTCCAACCATCACAGCAAGCCCAAGGGTCATATCCCTCCTCGACAAGCTTCACAGCCAGTCACAGGCGCAAGAAAGCACTCTGTCAATGTACACGTTTTGGATAGTATACTTACTCAAATCATTCTTTTTCGGCAATTTCTGGTCCAAGAAGAACGATGACTATATGAGGGACAAGTTCATTGCATTGGAACGGGAGAAATGCGAATTCATCTACCTCCTAGCCCGAACTATTGGGGCACGGTATATCGTTGAGGCAGGCACCAGCTTCGGAGTATCAACGACGTATCTGGCCTTAGCTGCGGGTCAAAATGCGCACACTCAATCGGCGAGACTTGAGGCCAAGGTCATTGCAACAGAAAAGGAGGCCAGCAAGGCAGCAAAGGCGAGAGAGAATTGGCGAATAGCCGGTCAGGAGGTCGAGCCGTGGATAAAACTACTGGAAGGGGATCTGTTAGAAACATTGCCGAATGAACTGAACAATATGGATTCAATCGATATGCTTCTTTTAGATAGTAAGTGAGGGCGCGTTTTTTCCGCTTCCTGGTTGACTAACTTCATGGCCAAGTATGGACACCACTTGCTCTTCCGACGCTGCAGTTGTTAAAGCCTAAGCTGCGCCCAGGAGCAATTGTTATCACTGATTTGACACAAATCGCGAGGGGTCTTTACAAGGAGCTTTTGGATTACATCCATGACCCGAAAAATGGCTTTCGGACAATGACCACGCCGTTCAGTGGAGGACTAGAGATGACTGTATACCTACCTGAATGTTGAGATTTGGCGGAAAGAGTAGATATTACTGTCTATGTATCTATCAGTCTCCTAATATGGAATGGCTCATTGGTCCTGGTTTGACATTTACCATGGTCTTCCCCTATAGTGTACGTTACCTAGTGAATTGATGTCACTTTTACAGGAGCTATTAGACTATTACCAGCTTTCTGGCGGGAGCTCAGCCGCTCAACCTGGACATATCTCGCCTCTGAATCCAGGCCGCTTCCAGAGAATAATAAAGGACAAGCAGTCCCGGAGGAATAGACGGGAGCAATCACTTCCTTCGATCTGCGAGGCGCTAAGTGAGAGTTTCCTGCCACCACTCGCTCCGCCTGCTCCGATGGGACTTCAGGAAGCTCAAAAAAGCCGCCCACTACATTCCGTCACCAGTCGTCTAACGAAGGAAGGCCCGCTAAAGCGGCCAAATTAACTCTCGAACGGAATTGAAGGGCCGTTTGAACAGCGACCCGTGATTCCTTGTCTGGGACGGCTACAACAAGAAGCATTTTGGCTAACGATACCGTCGCTTACAGTCCAGATTCCGACAAATGTCTCGCTTCCGTCCATCAATTCTAGCATGTCACTAGAAGCTTTGGTATTATCAGCTACCGGCTCGGAGACGGAATCTAGAAAGGACGAGAGGGCGCCCCGTGCAGCAGATAAGAAATGTCAATTGTCTAATGCATATAGCTATTCATATCATTGTACCTTCCGTTGGGTATCCTCGTCACGGTTCGTGCCACTCATAAAAATCAAAACTCCACGCTATGCCATGAAACAAAAGGATGAAGACAAAGAGAGACAGGGTTTGTCGAGGGAAAAAAAGCAAAGAAACAGATTCCAAATTTCATATCCACCCATATGCATAATTCATGCAAGGCTGATTTTCCAGACTGAAGAATTGCTGAGGAACTAGTCCGCCATCTTGGTCTAGTCTGCCATCGTCCTCGAAAAAGAATGACTTGTTAAGCATATTCTCTGCTGATTTCACAGGTTGAGAATGTGTTTGAAGGCCCAGTTGCGGTTGACGAATATCGACGCTGTTGCTAGCTTGCTTCTCTGCAGTCTCTTGCAGGTCATCATCCTCTCCGTCAGCGTCCTGATTTTCGGTCTCGTCGTCCGGTGATGGTGTAAAAGTCTCCTCCAGTTTCAATCCCTTGCCGCTTAATCCAGTCAATGACGCATTCAGCGATGCGTCAGGATGACTGTACAGGCCCATCCCGACAAGCTCGTCCTCCGGCTTCTCCTCAACCGCATCCGGCTCATCAAACTGCTGAATGGGGAGGAACGGCGTTGGAGGTCCAGAAGACGGCGCGCTCTCGTAATTCGACCCCGCAACGTCCGCCCCAGGAATACTGCTCTTCATGGACATCATATCAAAGGACCAGCCTTCAGACATGGGCGGAGCCATCACGGATAAGTTAGATGCGCCGGAGTCCCAGGTGATGGGCTCGACCTGCGAGCCGTTCATTTGCAAGAGGTACTGTTGCTGCATAGTTGTCGGATCTTCCATGCCGGACAGAGAGGAAAACATCGCTACATCCGAGGTGGGATACGCAGGTAGAATGTCCTCGCCACCATAGGTAACAGGAACAGTGTTGGATGTCGAAGCGCATAAGCCTGTGGTAGCGAGGCTTCCAGACATAGTGGTGGCCGGTATGTACTGAGAGGTGGAATATCCTGTTGATCGCAGTGATGCCGGGTGCCAACTCACTGGTCGCGGTTGGCGTGTTCTGCGGATGGCGGAAGCCGCGAGAGCAGCTTGGATCTGAGCCTGATAAGACTGCTGCGGGAGATGCTGGTACATTGGTGAAGTGTGCGACGTGGTGGCCCTTCGCTTGGCAACAGAGGAAGGACTGTTTCCAGCACTTCGGGGTTTCATTACCCGGCTAGTATGCTTCGGTCTTGGGAAAGCATACATCAAGTCACGAAACGTCGAGGTACGGAAACATGGCTGGTCTCCTGGGGAAATCCAGTAGGGGCCTGCTACGGAGGCTTGTGGTTGCCAGCAGTCGGCCATTGGTTGTGATGTTGAGAGTATCAATCAGATCAGGTATGGTTATGATAGTTGGCTAGAAGTGGACGAAGGCGTTGGTTATATTGGCGAGAGAGGGGCGAGGTATGTAGAGCGCAGAGTTATATGACAGATGGAGGTGGATTGAAATCCATGGATGACTGCAGTAAGATGCACAATAATAAGGTCAGAGATCGAGACTCATCATATAAAGATGACACAAGGGGTCACAGGGCGCTCATGGCAAGGTACCCAGCGAGTAGTCATGCAGAAGGAGGTAGGTAGTAAAGTAATAAGGTAGTAACTTTAGCCAGATAGTCCACAGATCTTCATTGTCCCCATAACATCAAATTACTTTCCCTTCTTAGAAAAATAATTATTTATTAATATGAAATAAATAGAAAATAAAAAGAAAAGAAAAAGGTATTAATTTCCTTTTTATTCTACGTGATCAATATGGGGTCACTTGTTACTCGTGGCATCAACTTACATTTCCGATCTACCGTCCGCCCCAGCTCCACGATCCAAAGGATGGGACTCCATAGCCGACAATCTATTGGCGGACACATGTTCAATAGTGAGATGACACAACGTTGACACTAACAAAATAGGTGACTTGGTCCGCGTCTCACAGGGGGAAGAATGGAACAAGCAAGTCGGCTAAGGAACGGAGGAGGCAGTCTGGTCTGGTAGGGATGGAACTGGAAGGATGTGATGATTCAGAGGCCATGCCTCCGCTCAGCGGCTCCACTGCGTTTCCATGGGCCGTAGGCCTGTAGCATTAATTCTTGCCTCTCCTCCGTTTTCGTATAGAATTCTTATTTTGCTCTTCTCTATCTTCCACCGCCTTTTCAGAAGTCCGGCTTGACTTCTGGACCCTCCTGATGAGCTGGACGGTTCGACCCATGGTAGTGCTGGTGACCATGGTGCCGCCATGTTGGTGGAGAAGGAAATGCTCAATACCTTACCACTGGTGGGGATGATCAGACCCATGAAAGGTTACAAGGAGTTGGGTTTTCATTGGATGGAATTTCAAGAAGAAAATAAAAAGGACACCTAGAGCAGGGTAGGGACTAGGAAGTCAGAGAAGGAACCAGAAAGATAGAGTGTCTGGAACACGCTGAAACTACCTAGGTTAGTAGTACTCCATAGTACTTCATAGTAACAACTAAGTTCAAGGCCCGTGTGTGACTGACTGCTATGTACGGAGTAAGCGGCTAGATAACCAAGAAATAAGTTACTTCCTTTGTAATCGGGACGATGGTTACACACGCATCAAGTCAGCTTTTTAGTCGATTTGAATATACAAGTAGGTATTAATGATGGACATGGAGAGCGTTGCCCAGGTCCCAATGCAGATACAGCTACACAAGAAGCTAGGGCTCATGTCTGTATTATTGTCATCAGTGACAGCTTACGGACTAGTTACGGAGTACTGCTGGCATGACCAACTACCAGCATTCATATGAACCAGTATCCGTACATATCAGGGATGGAGTTATTTTGAAGGCACTATGACTAGGATGTTTGGCAGCGACATCTAAATTAGTGGATTTCCGTATTATTTTATTTTATTTTAATTTTATTTTTATTTTTTTTTTTTACTTTCTTCTCGCCCGAAATTTGGCCCTATTAGTAAGTGGCTGCGATGGTTGCGGAGAGACACGTCCGGTTTAGTTTAGCAGGTTCGACTTAAAAAGGGTCCCTCTTTTTTCTGGAATGTTGTCTCTTAATGTTGAAGCCACACTAGCAAATTTCGACCTATCATCGCTGGCGCCCGCTGCTGTGCGGTTCCGGCTTTCGGCATTCAATTTCTCTTGGAGTTGGAGGCTGGTCCACATACTAATATCCGTAATGTTTCTTCCTTTGCTGAGTCTGGCCTTACCTCTATCATCATTATTACTCCGTAAGTCCGTACTATGTATCAAGTTCAGGGTGCAACCTGCCTGACCCCTCGAGTGCCTCCCCGCAAGTTCATTCCTTCGATGCGTCACATCTTGCTATGCTCAATACCTCTTACGCAAGGGTTACAAGTGCATCGTCGCTCCGAGCTGAAGGAGGTCACTCTGCAAGGCATATATCTATATGTTATCCATGATATCCAGTTTTGCTCATCGCCTTGTTGCCTGTGCTACACCCTTGTATCACTATAAATAAGGCATTCTTCGGTCTCACCGAGGGACTCTCTGGAGGTGTGATCCGCTATCTCGTTTTGAAACCAACCGCTTGGGGAGGGTTCATCCACCATCGTCATAGGCTTAACTTGCATTTCTAGCCTGCAGTGGATAAGGTTGGACACTTGGACTCATGGATTAATCATGAATGGCTAGACTTCGTAATCTCGTAATCTGGGAGACGCCAAGCACTCCATACCAAGCCTTCGGCCGTCGATTAGGCGCAGGATTCGGAGAGACTAAGATCAAGCGTCATGTGGATGGCGAGATTTTATCTTTATCCTGGTCACAACTTCACTATTATCCTATGTGGCTTGTTAGCCCAGCACAGGGGCGTCAGATATTTAGTATTGAAAAAAGGAAAAAGGAAGACAAATATTGATATCTATGTAACACTGGTTGTGATCAGCATTAGCGTATGCCTTTCAGTATCAATTATATCGTCTAATGCACTCCCACCACCAGCCGATATCCAATATTACCTGGTACAGAATACAGAATAATGCAGGGTATCGATGTATCATGTAGAGTCGACTATTTTTCTTCTAGGTTTGACGGAGAGCCAAGGATAAAATATGCTCAACAATTTAAAGTGGGGTACAATACATTTATCAACTGACACTTCGGCTAGGAGTCGACTCAAGTCTGAGGATCGCGTATTACCTATAGAGTACTACTTCGTGTCTTTGTACTCCATAGTGGCTCCGTACCGATGAGGCGATGGCCAACACAGCCCTCAAAGAAGTTCGATACAGCGTATGAAGCACGATTTTTTAAAGGGGCACATGATCAATACGCTTGGACAACGGTTCTGAAGTATTGATCGATGTCACAAAGACATCAAGGCTCAAGGCTCACGACATAAAAGCTCAAGGTTACAGCATACTCTACGAAGTACTAAGGTATTATCTTGGACCTTCTGCTCACTTCTAGCGGTTTAGTATGCTTTACGGAGCAGCATCAAGCCATCGGACAAGGCGGATTTCTCATGTTCCTACCCCCTGTCCTGCTCACCTCAATCCCTGCTTCCAAGGGCGGTTACCATGATCGCCTGTGGTAGCTTAGGCAATTCTCAGGGAATCTCAGCATAACGGTCATGTACACGGTTTTGGATTCGAGTCCGTTGTCTGACCTTCGTATACTCCGTACTCACTGTGTATCCAACATCCTGTCGAGTATCGACATCGACATCGCTAAGAATACTACCTAGAATGTACTAGTTGATCGGACGGTTGAGATCATCGTTTGACTTGCTGTGCGAATCAAAGGCCGCGGATTCCAGGAAGAAACCGCCGGGAAGTTGGGATGCATGTGCGGACCCACGGGCACCGCAGGGGGGGCTAGAAAATTAATAGAACAAACGGGGCCTGAGTCAGGGGTCAGTACGTAGGTAAAAATCCTTACGAATTTCTTGAATCCCTTCCCCTCTGTGGCTCTGAGACGCTGACAGGCAATGCAAGTGGGTCCGTCTCCTGTACGAAGTATTGTGCCTTCTGCTTAGTGTGCTGATGATCTATCCATTTGATCGCTTGTCTCCACTTTAAATGGCGTTGTGCAGGGATACTACCAGGAAGGCCGGCGCATACTTTGCTTCCTGCTGTTTGCCCTGGGCTTGGACCTGGAGTTAGTCAGACAGTTGTCTCAAATAGCAGTCAAAAATAAATTCCATCTCATTCCATTCGCCGATCGCTCAACAAGAACAGCCCGCTTGCATACGAGCTGGAGCCTCGGGGAGAAAATCCATCACAAGAGATGATCTTATCAAACACCCACAGGCCACATCGATGCTACAGTATCAGCTGGCCTGGAACTAGTCTAGCCCCTCTAGAATCCATCCCCTATGCCTTCACTGCGGGACACAGTCGACATCTCTTCAATGACTACCACAGCCTCACAGGATTAGGGTCAACTGCCTCTCCGTTGTCATAATTAAACACTACTAGAAGAATCAAAGGAGCAATTATGACGACAGAATACTCTGATCGTCAATCGCACACTAACGTTGGACTGTAAGATAGTACTTAGTAATCCAAGTCTCCAAGGCTGCCAAACGGGGTAGGACTTGGCTGTCTCCGCTTAATTAGCGCCTCGCTGCTGTACCAGGCTCAATCCAGCAAACCCCCAAATGGCGGTCACAATCCGACGGTCCAAGACAGGAGAAGCCTGGAACTGGGCAATAATCGACGACACTACCCTAGTTAAATTCCACAGCCATGTAGGGATCACCTCAAATAGTTACTTCTCGGACTTGATCCACATAACGAGGCACAGGCGGTAAGCATCACACAGAGACAAGGGATGTCACATCAGAAGACATGTACGCCGTACTTCTCTTCCATCTCTCCATCAAGGTTCACCGAACATGATTCAATCCTGATTTCTAAAAGAGCAGCACTCAACCCAGTGCTAGATGCCAGCCACTCAAAGTTTAAAGATCGCAAAGCTCAGGCATAGGAACACCCGCTAATTAATTTGACTTGCCTTAGTTCCATGTCATTGGGGCCAGATCCTGTGATACTTTGGGAAATAACTGTAGCCGATTGCATTATCATTGGTCAAACATGTGTTCACTGTGGGCATAAGGCGCTATTTCAGCATTTTTAATTGAATTTTCCAAATGGCCATTGTAATCTCGCCTCGGCCGCGCAGCCCGCGGCTGTCGCTGAGTAACCTCATCCTTGAATGATTCGTAGTCCTTCAATTACCAAGTTCGGCCGCGTACTCCGTCTGCCACAGCCACTCACCGTTTAAGATATCTGTTTCCCGCGGCGATTGCTGCAATCACGCACCCCCAAGCTGTCACTAATGAGACATATCAGCCGCAGCAATGAGATAACACAGAGTGTGCCTCATATGCCCCCGAGATGCATGCCAGCCTGCAGTGCCAAACCCTGCTAGCTCCTTAGCGGATGCATCGTACCCATTCGTAGGATTAGGTTCATTTCTGTGAAACCGAATTTTCATCCTTTGCCGCTGCGCGCCGCGTGCTACGTCCGAGCGCCACAACGTCTGAGCTCACCTTTGTCGAACTTAACCTAAACCTAAACCAGGAAATTCAAGAACCTGGTGGCTGCCGCCTGGTAGGCTTTATTATTACGGGAGTAAGCCGGCTCAAGCGGATGGTTCTTATGGAGCCTGCTTTGAGAAGAACGAAGTGGGCATCGTGTGACTGGCACGAAGAACTTTTCCTGGCAAAGCTTCCAGACTAGAGGTGACTCGAACATGGCAAGTTGGCACAATGCGCGTTCATTACACTTGGTGGCGGAGCATCGAAATGCAATACAGGCTGGATCTACTGCTGAAATCCTGCACCATAGACTCAGATAGTAGATACGCCTTGTCATGAGTCTGAGAAATTGGGAGAAGAATCCGACGATAGGGTGGGTCTGCAGTCTGCGCTCAACTACCCTCGAAGAAAGGAGAAAAGAGTATGGCTCATGTTGTCTCTTCTTCGCTAGAAGGATTTGGGGGACAGCTGCAGGAAGCCATGAGTCAAAATGCGTACATGCATATCACACCTGCATATGAGTACTGCTCCGTACAGAGCACACCAAGTACGTAAGGCAGTATGGTTGGGCGCCCGACCAATCATAGCTCATAGCACCAGGCAGCCCCTCGAAACTACCTTACATCCAAATCGAGATCGTTGATATCAGCAAAGGCAGACTCTTCGAACGCAGTGTAGAGATGATATGACGCTGACGCGCTGCATAGTCCTGTAGACAAACTTGCTAAACTAACGAACAGAGGCAAACCTCAAGCAAAGACAGTACCCCATTTGCATATGTGATATGCACTGGCTACATCCTAGAGTCCTGGATTCCTGCATCTAGTCGTACAGCCAGGCATGTACAGTCAGAGTCGAAAACAGATTCCCCAATGTACACACACGAATTCTTTCCTGAACCATATTATAACACGTACTATTTTATTACGGCTTAGCGGTAAATTACCTTGCTTGCAAGAATAGTGCTGTTCTTTTTTCTAAAGCGACAGAGAGACGTATAAGGTAATATTGTATCTTACACGAAACCAGTATACACAGTGCCCTAGAGTAAATAGTCCGGATTTCTAAGATAAAATCAAAAAAGGAGGTTGTTCAGCCAATTGCATCCTGATGGTATACTCTACCCGTGCTGAATTTATTCTTTTTACCTGTACTCCATAGTAGCGGTCCTATATGCAAGGCAATTTCCCTTGTTCCAGATTGTGCTGTGTGGTCCTGTAGGATCGACACTGCCAGCACAGCACGAATAAGAGGAGAGAAAGCTGTTGCACGTGCCTTTGCCGTGGCGCCCTCTCCCCTCCCTTTTGTCTCCAAACAATCACATTCACGCTATTAAGACAGCGTCGGATACTGGTGGCATGTCCTCGCTTTGTAAGCCCCTTGTCAATGTTGGTACGATTGGTCATGCTGATCATGGCAAGACCACCCTGACGGCTGCCATCACCGCCAGATTCAGCTCGGCCTACGACCATGTTGACAACGCGTCCAAGGATAAGGTCCATGGTTTGACCGCCCACGTCGGGTACGAGACCCAGGCTCGCCACTATGCGCACGTCGACTGGCCTGGTCACGCTGATTATATCAAGGACATGTTCGGCGGCACAGTGCAGTTGGACGGCGCGATTCTGGTCGTATCGGCTGCGGATGGCCTGATGCCGCAGACGCGCGAGCAGATTCTGGTAGCGCGGCAAGCGCGTGTGCCGTACATCGTTGTGTTCCTAAACAAGTGCGATATGGTGGACGACGAGGATCAGGTCGAGGTGGTGGAAATGGAAGTACGTGAGCTACTGAGCAGTTACGGCTTTCCGGGCGACGACACGCCGATCATCAAGGGATCAGCGCAACAGGCGCTGAAAGGGGGCTTGGATGAGAGCAAGCTGGGCGAGCGCGCGATCATACGCCTGGTGGAGGCGTTGGACGCGTACATCCCAACACCAGTACGTGCGGTGGATCGCCCGTTCTTGATGCCGGTGGAAGAGGTGTTCTCGCTCCCGGGTCGCGGCGTAATGGCCCACGGCCGTGTGGAGCGTGGCGTGATCCGGGTCGGCGACGAAGTTGAGCTCGTGGGTACCCTCGCGGCGATTCGGACGACGTGCAGGGGCGTGGAGATGTTCCGCAAGTCCCTGCCCGAAGGCTCGGCAGGGCACACCGTGGGTATCGCGCTGCGTGGCATCAGGCGTGAGAATGTGGAGCGCGGTCAAGTGCTGGCCATGCCGGGCCAGGTCAGAATGTATACGAATTTCACAGCGGTAGTGTACGTGCTGGGCAAGGAAGAGGGCGGTCGCCATACGCCGTTCTTCAACGACTACCATGCGCAGTTCTTCATCCGCACGACCGAGGTGACGGGCTCGATCACGTTGCCGAAGGACAGGGAAATGGTGATGCCGGGCGATAGCCTGTCAATCACGGTCAAGCTGATCGCACCTATCGCGATGGAAGAAGGCCTGCGCTTCGCCATCCGTGAGGGTGGGAGCCCAGTCGCTGGCGGCATCATTACCTCAACCCTCGAGTAAATGTCTGTGCACCTTTTTTTTTCTCCTCATATGCTTCCATGCGTTTCTCTCTCTCTCTCTCTTGCTACACAAGTTAGAATCTCTTTGTCTAAAGAAAATCTTACGAATAAGTGGTCCATGCCGGAGTGATGTATCACAGGCAAGGCAATGCCGAGGGATCATCAATGGATCTTCCCTCTGCACTTTATACCCCCCCTACCATCCAAACATTCGAGGGCATTGTCCGTTATGTGTCTCACAGCGTAGAAGGTCTAGAACGGATTCATACGGGCAAGAAACCACAGGAATGAATGACGCCCGCGCCGGCGCTGATACTGGGCCGTCTATGGATTTCGAAAGTCAAGTGATTGGATCAGTAACAAGATGCTCTCTGCAGATTTATAGAGCTTTAAATGCTGCCGGCAGAAACAATAACAAGTCTCCATGGCCCAGCTGGTTAAGGCGTCCGACTGTTAAGCACTAGCTGTGCAATCGGGAGATCGGCAGTTCGAGCCTGCCTGGGGACGAATTTTTGTGTTTTCAACTTTCGTCACTTATTTCTGCCTGTTTCTTTTTTTTCATCCAAACGGGACCAGCCCCACGCAAAAGGCCGCCTTATGCTGCCAAAGTAGTATGTATTTTGAAAATGGAAACAAAGAACCTTGGGTGGGCGAACGTCACCCAAGGAACAGTGCTACTCAAGTAATTGAGTCTCAAAGTCACCACCACCACGAGCTAAGGAAGACTGCAAGGACAGATACGTAGTTCTCGAAACTTTAAGAGCGGTACAGAACATGGTCATATGCGCATCTGTCTTTCGAGAACACAGCCAGGTATCCTTTCGGAAAGTGTCCGTACTTCCCGTTTGGGGAAGGCATGCAGTCTTGACCTATTCTTCGAGGGCACAAATACCATGAATAGGAAGAAAGGGAGTTCTGTACGCCAAAAAAGTCAACATACCTTTTAGGAGGTACAAAAAACGTCCCCAGGCAGGCTCGAACTGCCGATCTCCCGATTGCCGAGTCCAACAATGGACTGCGATAACAGTCGGACGCCTTAACCAGCTGGGCCATGGAGACATCTGATTGGTTAAGTCTGCGCAGTGCGTGTCTCAAGGCGCTTTAAATCATCGACGTGGAGGACGTGGCCGAGTTAGACATTAAGGTGGCTAGGTTCCCAGCTGCGGTCGTATCAGCTAAGTTCCGTATGTTGCATTGGAAATACGACCAGGCTGAAAGCTCGGATGGGAATGAAGGAACCAGACTGTATCTGGCTGGGAATCTGGATGCCTTGAGTGTTTATCTGGTAAGCGACAGAGCGTAGTACCAACTTAAGGATGGACCAACAGGCTAGAAATTTCTGGCGTGGCCAGTAATGATGTTCAAGTGCCATAGTATTCAATTAAACTTAAACTTCTCTACACAGCCTCAAAATTGACTGCTGCCTGACCACTGCAGCAACTCAGGACGAACTGTTTTGCCACTCTCTGGTGGTGCGTCAAACACTTCGTTGGCGCTAATAATAAATATTAAGGCGGATTGTAAGGCAAACAAATGAGTGATAGGCAGAGGGTGCAAAGTAGAAAAGGCAAAAAAAGAATTCGTCCCCAGGCAGGCTCGAACTGCCGATCTCCCGATTGCACAGCTAATGCTTAACAGTCGGACGCCTTAACCAGCTGGGCCATGGAGACCAATCGTTAGAGACCTATGAGGACTTTTGAGCATATGAGTCTAGGGATGCTAAAGCGAAACTCACTTGAGCCGTTGATAGAGAGGTTGTGTCTTGACGCACACTCTAGTCCGCCGAATAGTGCAGCCTCGCAACAAGAATATACCTATTATTATCGATATTATTACCAAATACAAAAAAGACACGAGCGTGGGCAATTAAGTTCAGGCAAAGTTGGACTGATAGAGATCGGTGGTAGGTGCGAATGGCAGAGAGAAGAACCAAAAAAATCGTCCCCGGGCAGGATCGAACTGCCGATCTCCCGATTGCTAGGAGCAGCTGCTTAACAGTCGGACGCCTTAACCAGCTGGGCCACGGAGACAACTTGTTGAAGAACGCCAAAATTAAAAATATAATATAGTAATGAACATAAGTTGAAAGACAAATTTTGAATGTTGTCTACGCCGATACAGGATGAGAGCTTTGTTGATACATTTGCCTGGCTACATGCAATACTCCATTCGTCCCTTTAGACTGCAAGGTCGGTCGCTGCAACTTCGACACATGGTCTACTCCATTATTATTGGATTCTAATGTCCCTAGCATTTAGGAATGTACTCTTATAGTGGTCGAGGATTGTCCAACTTGACTTGGAGACCATGTTGCTCATCTCCCTTTCACGTTTGCCCCTCGAGGATTGAGTATCTTTTTCAGGCTGAACTCCTAGGTTTGTAAGATGGTGGATAACGGGACCGAGATCAACATTGACCGAGAGGAGACCGTATTGTCGGCTCTCGATGTTATATTCATCCTTGCGTCGTGCTCACATATATAATGCCCTTTGTTCTATGATTAATGTGGTAACAAATACATCGTTAGTGCGACCTTGCTCTCGATAGATGGCTATCATGAACTGCATCAGAACACGCAGTGTGGGTATATTTGGGTACTCCCCACCAAAAATTGTATTGATGGAGATATATATACCTGACATGGAGGGATTGGCATACCTCTCCACCAGGCCAAGTAAATGGACCATTCTAGCCAAATCATACAACTGGATATGTTGAAAGACACACCAAAAGCAAGAGCACAAAATAAACACCAAATTAACGCCAACAATGAGCGCTGGCAAGTATGCACGTTGATATGCACTTCAGCGGGATTAGGTAGGATGACTGCTTGAGCCATTTAACGACGTCATACCCACTTCGACCGGAACCGTAACAACTTATTGAACGCAACAAGTCAGATTCTCAATCCACACATTATGGGACAATCGCGCCAGAGCGCCATCAGAAACTTATTCAGAATTGATCACCTTTGAAAATAGAGCTGTGGTATAATGGAGAAGGGGCTGCTGCAGGATGACTTTGTAAGTCGCCAGACCCTCACCGGAGGAACTGCCGGAGCTGACCTGACGGAAGGACCATGGAGGGGCAATCAGCGATACAGAAACGCATAACCAGCTGGAGGTACAACAAACGCACAAACCCACCATTACTGAGATCCGAACATCCTGCTAACTGCGAATAACCCCTGCCTGCTAGGTCGTGCTGTACCCCGATTGCACTCACCGCCGCAAGTCGTCCTTGGTTTCGGTAGACGACTCAAGATCAAGACCACACCTTGACAGTGCAGACGAGAGAACAGCATGCTTCGTGCATTCATTGATCATGGGTGAATGGATAACACCGCCATCCAAAGACATCCGACAAGATGTGAAGCCGGGCAAAGCGCACGAAATAGTCCTCCCACAAACGAGCGTTGACGACGACGATGCGATTAAACCGTCCGAGGCGAAGGATCGAAAGGCTCTCAAGACACCCCCTACAGTGGTGCAATCACGTCATCTGACCAAGAAGCAGCTATCGGATATGGCATGGAATGTGCGCAAGCTGTCAAAGAAATTAGGGAGCATCAAGCTCAAGCTTACGGTGAAGAGCGTATTGGTGGTGACAAAGGTACGCGACGAATCTCTCGTCGTCCTTACAAGGAAGGTTACCCAGTGGCTGCTCTCCAAGGATCGCTCGACAAAATATGTCGTCTACGTGGAGAAGCGGCTGGAGACGCACCCGGATTTTGGAGCTGTTCAGCTCCTTCAAGAAGAACCTACGGCTGAAGGCCGGCTCATGTACTGGGATACGAATATGGCGTCCGAAGAAGCACATCTATTCGACTTTGTTGTTACACTAGGAGGGGACGGCACGGTCCTATACACGAGCTGGCTTTTCCAGCACGTCGTACCACCCGTACTCTCATTTTCTCTGGGCTCCCTGGGATTCCTGACTAGATTCGATTTCAACCAATACCAGAGCATACTAGAGACGGCTTTTAAGGACGGTGTCGTGGTAAGCCTCAGACTAAGGTTCGAGTGCACTATCATGAGGAGCAATCGGCGGCCGGACGACGACGCAACAAAGATAACGAAGCGGGATCTCGTCGAAGAACTTATAGGAGAGGAGATGGAAGGAACATTGACCCATAGGCCGGACAAGGTTTTCCAGATCCTCAACGATGTTGTGCTTGACAGAGGACCGAACCCCAGTAAGAACTCATCCCCCCCCTTGAATGCACTCGGCCTTGCCTGGAAATGGGTCCCTGACTGACCCTATCAGCGATGTCTCAAATTGAGCTGTTCGGTGACAATGAGCATTTCACGACGTTGCTAGCGGACGGCATCTGTATAGCGACGCCTACCGGCTCGACAGCGTACAATCTAGCCGCGGGAGGTTCACTGTGTCATCCAGAGAACCCCGTCATCCTCGTTACCGCCATCTGCGCCCACACCCTGTCTTTCCGACCGATTATATTGCCAGACACCATTGTTCTACGTATGGGAGTTCCTTATGATGCCCGAACAAGCTCATGGGCAAGCTTCGATGGTCGAGAGAGGTGGGTTCTGCGGCATGGAAGCTACATTGAGATTCGCTGACAGCCATGGTAGAATCGAATTGCAGCCGGGCGATTATGTGACTGTATCCGCATCGCGGTATCCGTTTGCAAACGTGCTACCACACAACCGACGTGGCGAGGACTGGGTTCAGAGTATCTCCAAAACATTAAATTGGAATTCGCGGGAAAAGCAGAAGAGCTTCAAATAGCGCATCCTGCTGCTAACGCAGCGCCAACCGGGGATTTGCTGATATGCGGTCATGACTTGTATATAGAGGAGCAATCTTACAATTGTTTGCATATGGATATCATTGGGGGAAGACATGCAACTGACGATGATTTCATACTCATTCGCTTCTCATCTGCTCTTGTTCAATTCCACACACACATAACCTTGGAATCATCTATTTAGGTGGCCCTCAAAGGCATGTCATTGTTCGATATTGCATAACTGAAGATAATTACCATGAGTAATGGAAATTCTGTCAGCCCGATCGAACCTTCGACTTTGCGTCGCTTGTTCTGAAGTTTTTCTTTCTGCTCTCGCTCTAGAAGCTTCGTATGGGTCAGTGGGTTTCCCGGGCAGCCTCAGGCCGACTATAAAAGGCCTTCCGCCGCCGCAAAATTTCTTCCTTCTGCTCTTCCACAAACGACACCAATTCGACTTCGCACAGCAGCATTGCCTGCTCAATTGGCACTGGAGTTATATGTAGACTCCCGCAGTTGATTGAGCTTTTAAATACTATAATAATAATAGTGTTTTTGCTCATTACAGCGCACCATGTCGCGACTCACTAACTTTTGGTAAGTCTTACGATTTTTACCTGTCCTGTCTCGATCCTCAAATCGACCAACAGAGCCTTCTGGCTCTCTTATGATGAAAATTTTTTCCTACATTCGCAGTTTCCACGCTAGCCGTCGCCATGAACCCATCATAGACGTGCTCTGTGCGCATTATCTTCCTTGGATGTCTGATTCTTGTTGGTCATTTGGCATGGATTTGAGCATGACTTTTGTTAAGGTCCTTGAATAGTTGCTAATAATGGCTTTCAGTATAGGTTGATAATTGGGATTACCATGGTTGTTGACGGGTTTGATTGTGCGAGGTCTATGTCGTTGCTCTGGCCTTGATCGATACTGGATACTCGATTGCTTCAATTGACAGAGCTACGACTATAATATCGTTGAGAGTTAGATATAGTGATGAATTTGCTTCCCGACATGCTCGGTTTCTCCGTGTTTACTTGTTTCTACTCCCTTGACTACACCGTAAGCATTCAGCGCTTGTAGCTGTCGAACATGTTCCAAAATTCGAGAGAAGAAAATTATAGAACTGGATAATGTCTGTGGAAGCATCTATGGTTGCTTTTATCTGGATGACCAGTCGCTCGTAGTCTAATATTGTGCATTCGATGTGCGGTATTGTATGGCCTTCAGCGCCTGAGGAGGAGTGATGATGAACGTCTCAACCTACACCGTCAACGCTCCTTATCAACATCCAACATCGCAAATCGGAAACCAACGACCCCGTGTCAAACTCCCTCATGAAATAATCTCCTTACCAACATAAGACGATGCAATAATTAATTGAATTACTGCCTCTCTCTACCCCATCCCGCAAATCTCCCATCTCCATCTCCAGCAGTGCAACAACCGACCATAACTGCCATGTCACAATCACACCCCGCCAGACACTCCTCGATGCTGTCCGTCAGCACCAGTGGAACAACCATAGCTGGCACCGCCGAGAGACAGCCACCCCCAAAGCAAGTGACGACAGTCGCGCAGCAAAGCCCCGGCCTGCGAATCCCTTCGAACCGCAAGACGATCTACGACAGACATCTGAACCGCAGTCGAAATGCGGAGCTCAGCCGGGCAAGCTTCGCCTTCCTGTTCGCGGAGATGGTCACATATGCTCAGCGAAGAGTAACAGGGATACAGGATCTAGAGCGCAGGTGAGTGCAACGCGGCTTGATAGATTCGTCGCCCCATCCTGACAGCACGCCAGGTTAAACGAACAGGGCTATCCCCTCGGCCTCCGTCTCCTCGACCTCCTCTTCTACCGCTCCATGTCCTCCACATCGTCCGCGCTATCAAGCTCCTCGACCTCTGCTTCCCCTCCTAATCGACCTCTCCGCATTCTTCCCCTGCTCCATCTAATCCATGGGCCCCTCTGGCGCCTGCTCTTCCAACGCCCCGCAGACGCTCTCGAGCATTCAGTGTCCCCCGAAACACCGAACGAGTACATGATTACAGATAATGACCCGCTGGTAAACACATACATTAGTGTTCCGAAGGAGATGAGCATGCTCAATTGCGCTGCCTTTGTGGCGGGGATCATAGAGGGGGTTTGTGATGGGTGTGGTTTCGAGGCCAAGGTTACGGCGCACAATCAGCCTACGGAGATGTGGCCCGGACGGACGATCTTTCTGTTACGGTTCGGCGAGAGTGTCATGGAGAGAGAGAAGGTGCTGGAAAGGGCAGGGGTGAAATAAGTGGATGGCTGACCGCCGAGCCACTGCCTGACGGGATGGACCACAACAGTATTGCACGGGTCTTACGACGACTCTGGGAGTTATCGGATTGGATATCAGAGAAAGGACTATTACGGGGAAATCCGTTATATCACGGCGAAGGCGCGTACGTTGATTCGTGGGAAGGAGATGATATGCTTTACCAAGCGAGCGAGAGCTTGTTGGACCTTTGTGTTTGTATTTGCAAGCATGATGTCTCTTTTATCCTACACACTCTGTTCACCAGCCCAGATACAGGGTATATATCCAAACCCCTCGAGAGAAAATATTAAATATGAAGAATGACAAAGGCAAAGACCTGTCGCAAACTGCAATGCAACACAATCCCGATTCCCATCCGCATTTTTCATGATACCAGGAACTCCAAGAACATAATGATTTCTTCTCATAGGCCCGTCTATGTAGCATAGTCTGTACGCCGTCGCTTGTCGCGATCGTCGTATGGTGAAGGACTCCGCTTCCTTCGACCGCTGGTATCCGGTCTGTGCCGGTCTCTTGAGCGATCTCGGTCACGACTACGTTCACGGTCATTGTCACGATAGTGGCCACCGTCCCCATAACTGTCTCGCCGGCTATCATATCTGTCGTCCCTGCGGTCGCGGTGACGGTCTCCCCTTGGCGAATATGATCTTGACTGTGACTTTCGTCTCTCGCGTACAGCACTGGCGTTGGCTCCCGTGGGACCCTTGGGGCGATCATCCGGACGGTCAGGTAGGAATCGCTCGTCACGGATACCGAGAGGGGCAGCCTCCCGACGGCGGGAACGATTGTCAAAGCCGTCTCCAAAGCGTCCTGTATCCTCCGACCTCAAGTCCTTGTACCGTGTCCTTCCCTTCTTTCCCAGCTTGGTCATATCCCGAATTTGCATATATTCAGGCAAGGTCTCACGAGCGACGTCGTCCGCGAACCTCTGCCCCATGACGTTTCTCTTGTCGAGTCCTTCGCGTTCCAGGTCATCACGGAAGAAGGCACCCTTGTGGAAGTAGCGCTGCATAAACCCGGTCTGGCCACGGCCGGCTTCTTTCTCCTGTTTCTGCTTCTCAATAAACTCCCGGTCCTCGGCTTCGCGCTCCTCCGCAGTGAGGTTCCGACGACGCTCAATCTCTTCGCGCTCCTTCTCCGCTGCCTCGATGGCTTCGCGCTCTCTCTTGATGCGCTTGAGTTCTCGTAGCTTCCAAGCAGCATATTCTGCTTCTGGATCCACGCCATCCCGATCATCGATGGCACCTTCTTCGCCCGCTTCAACCACTTCGTCGTCATCCCACGCTCTGTTCGCCGTCGTCCGTGCAATCGCTTCTTTCTCCAATTGCTCTCGAACCAGCATGTCCGCTTTCTCCTGTCGCTGAGCCTTGCGGGCCTCCGCCTCCGCCGCCGAATCAGCAACATGGGCGGCGTTTTGTGCTTGATTTGGCGCACTGTTGCGCTTGTCTTTCTTGATGAACGTAGGCCGTAACAGAACTCTCCGGGGCGCCTCCTCTTCTGAACTGCTCTCTTCTTCTTCCGAACTTTCCTCCTCCTCCTCCTCCTCCTCCTCCTCCTCTTCCTCCTCCTCATCTTCGTCTCCGCCTACCTGCGCCGTCACCGTCTCCGCTCGGTCGCCAGCAACACGAGCGGTTACCTTCGGTGGTGCCTCTTCCTCCTCTTCCGTCACAAACCCTTCCTCGTCCTCCTCCTCTTCAATTTTTACATCTTGCACGCCTTTCGTGATCTTCCCAGCAGCAGCAGCGCCAGCAGGAAACGATGTCGCTTTTGGAGCCTGTTGCCTCTGCCGTTGTTGTTCCTGTCTGCGCCGCTCCTGCTCCTGTACCTCTTCCTCCGCATCCTCATCTTCTTCAGATGACGAGGGTTCCTCGGCGATCGGTTTTCCCGGCCGGTAGCGCTTAACTGGCTTCAGAGGGTTGGCGGTCATACCGCGATGTTGGGAGGGAAGTGGAGGAGGCATGGTGACGACCGCCTCGAAAATGGGGATCAATATAAGGCCGTATCGTGACTTTATCAGCTCATCTGTCGTATTACGAGACTGCGGAAATGGTATATCGTCCGCAGAGGTGGGAATGGCTATACCGCGGAGGAAAAAGTTGATATCTCCGATCAAACATCTGCCGGTTGACGTATGGAGCCCAGCCCACCGGGCGGTCGAGAGTGTAAGGAGATCACGTGAACACGCGTTGCGCGCCCCGCGACGGAGCTTAACCACAGGCAAGATATCAACCTCTGTACATCTACAACGCTGCCTATCAATCCCAGCGAAACAACTACTGCAAGACCCAAATAATCAACCTCCAAGGTCCCAAAGTCAGCGAATCCAAAAATGTCCCTCCAAACCCCCCGCGTCCTCCCCGCCCACCTCCACGCCTTCCACCCCTCCAGCGGCTCCTCAACACACACCGTCCGCATCCTCGGAACGGTAACAGCCTTACACGGCGACACCGCAACAATAACATGCGGGGACAACGGCGACGTCACTCTCATCCTGAAGTCAGACTCGCATCTGCAGATGGGAAAGTTAGTCGAGGTGGTAGGGAAAGTCGCTGAACTAGAGGGCGGGCAGGTACGTGCCTCTGACAGCAAGAGAAACCGGACAGCAGGAGCTAATGATGTGCAACAGGGCCTCGGGATCCGTGTCTTGGCCACGACGGACTGGGGCAACCCTTCGGATTGCGGTGAGTGCACCCCTCACCAACTGAGAATCAGTCGTCGGAAGCAAAGCGGGCGAGTGACTAATGATGATGGCTGCACAGACTACAAGATCTACGAACACGTTGTCGAAGTGACGCATAAGTTGAAGCCTATATTCTATGATTCCAATGAATAGATGAATCTGGTCGATTTGTGCATATTTGCCGCCCGATTTAGAACTATATCTCACAATTGACATACCCTTTGTTCGGCGACAAACCTACGGATATGATACCTAGATACTCTGAGTTGGAAGCCCCGTGAAATCTGCACTGAGATCAATGGATCATGTTAACGCAGGGTGGTTGCTGTTCGTGGGATATCCTTGTCAGGCTCTTTTTCCCCCCCAAGGCTTCCTTGCTTTACTGGATGAAGCAAGGAGTATAATGGCAAAGATAAGGATATGTATCAATTGCTTTGCCAATGACATGTCGAGGCTTCTAACTGCTGTTTGTAGTTGGTCAGGTCTTGAAAGACTGGTGTTGGTTGGAGTCAAGTCATACCAAGTCTATTCCTCAGTAGATTACAACTGTACTTGCAGAATCATTCCAATAAATGTATGATGCATATCTTTTGTTCATTATCTAGATGCTAAGAAGAGACATACGGCCCCTTTGATGTCATAACTAAGGAAAATTGATCCAACAGTCAGGTTAGGCAACAGTAGAGTGAAACAGGCTTTTGTGCTTTTTGACAACCGTGTCAGATGGGCAGAGTAAAACGCTAGAACAACATCATGATATGGGACACTTTCGCATAGAAATGCATGAGAAAACAAAGACCACACTGGAATTGCCAGGAATCCCGCCCAACGCCTTCGCTAAGAAAAAGCCAACAGACTGTGAAAATTTGATCATGAACGAGGTGCGTAAGAATGTAGAAGATGGAAATGGAGAAATAAAGAGTGAGAGGAAGAGCGAGGTCATAAGGCATTAGTTTGTAATACTCAAGCCAACTCCTTGCTCACGGACTCCTCCGCGGTTTTGCTACTGGAGCCGAGAGCGGTGACATCAGCGGTAACTGAATCTGAGCCAAAAAAGCCAGTGTCCAAGGCGTCTGCACCAGCAAATTGGAATGGATCGAAATGTGCATTCTTTTGGATGTCCGGGTCGGATAGAATGGCGTGGATGAGATCTTCGTCCTCACTTGCGCCGCTGCGCCTACCCATCCGTTGCTCGCCGTTTGCCTCCTGGTCGTCGGATCCGTTCAATGAAATGTAATCGGATTCAATCCAACCAGACCAGTTGCCGCTTGTCGAGTCCTTGGGTTGCCCAAAAGAAAATAAGGAGTCACACTGTGCGGAAGACGGTACGTCCTCAAAGATATCAACAAGCATACTGTCAATATTGCCCAAGGCCTCCACATTAAATTCACCGTCGGGCATAGAAGGCAGACCGGGTCCTAAAGATCGCAAAGACTTGGGCGTTTTATTTTGACGGGGCGTCACAGTTGTACTGCCCTGTACCCGGTGGAGTTTCTGCGCGCTGAGCTTGGTGGGCGTCATGTCTGAGCTTCCCTCAAGGCGCGCTCTGGACAAAGGCGAGATACACGGCAACGAATTGCGCTTCTCTCCCAGCAGGTTGCTACGCTGGTTTCGTCTTCTGGGGGTAGGACTGGCGGGCAGATCATATTCAAAGGGCGGACTCTCGAATAACCCTTCTAGGTCTTTGTCAATGGCAGCGTTTTCCTTGTCTTGGGATTTTTGACCTGGATCGCGACAGTTAACGCGAGGGCTACGGCGTGGACTGTTCAGGGCGGAACCGCCCAAGGGCTTGAGAGGACAACCTTCGTTCTGAGCAGTATGAAAGAGCGCTCTTCTCACTGGCTTAGGTGTAAGGCTGTTCTCATCAACCGATGGACCGGGGCGTTTCTCAAGGTTTCGGGCTGGGCTGGACTGGATAGCCCGCCGCAGCGCCTCCGTTGCATCTTGCTCCTGCCAACGCTTCTCTGCGGTGTCCGACGACCGTCGTGGCTCAGCGCTATTGGCACGATGCCGCTTGGAGGGCACTTCTTGAACGCCATCGTCATTGTCTCGATCGTTTCCATTCTCGTTGCCATTATCTGCACGCGGGGTTTCCTCTTCCGCAGGTGACGAGGCATCAGATGCGCCGGGAGAGGACCCAGCCGGCCTTGAGGACTGGGGTTTGGGGTGTATTTTCGCCAAGGTGCCATTGTCCGAGAGCGGGCCTCCTCCCTTACGATTCCGGGGCATCCGCTTTTTCTTACCGCTGGCAGGCTTGTTCCATCTGTTCTCAGGGCGCATACACTTGAATTTGTGCAGCCAAAGACCACAGGCTTCCTGTATGTCAGCAACAATCCCAGTGAAAAAAAATTAACCTCTAGACTTACGGTTACAGAGAAGTATCTGGACGAAGTCATTGTCGGCGTCAACCAAGGATTTCTTGAACCCTTTGAACTTTGTAACCTCATCCTTGTCGTTCCTTTCCAAAACCTGCCAGAATAGCATGGTCGAATCCTTCATGAGCTCATTGGCATCAGACTCCCCTCCAACAAACTCCTTTGACCAGGCCCTGCGCCAAGTGGGAGTTTCAATGGCCCCGCAGTTGTCGCAGTAAGGAGGGACCTGACCGTCTCGGATACACTTATCCAGGCGTGCCTGGACCTGCCTAAGCCTTCTTGCCCCCGCCCCACTCCGGACTTTGCCATCCTCAGTCACAGGCTTCGGCGTAGGCGTCTCAGCGCTGGGGAGGTCGCTCATGGGGCCTGTCCAGGAATGGGCATATTGAGCAGGAACATGAGACGGAATGACCGGATCACTTGCGGGAATCGCATTCATGAGTTGCTCCAATTCACTTTGTGAGATGGGGGCAGGAGCCAAAGGCTTGGGGGCCTGTCTGAAACTCGCCCGCGATGGTGGCCTCGAGCCGGCCGCACTGGCAGGACCGCGAGTTGGGGCAGGAGCAGGAGCAGCGACTGCTCCCTTCGGAGTTTGCTCTGGCAAACTATCTCTGGCCAACATGTTTTCGATCTGATTCTCTGGTACGGTGGGAGGATTGATAGGAGAGCTGGCCTGGGCTGCAGCATCCGTTGCGCGTCTGCGCTTTGGTGCGTCATTTGAGATCGACTTTGCACAATCCTCTAAAGGAGTACCCATATCATCATCCAAGAGATCATCCAAGCCACCGCTCATGAAACCCGAGTCGGGATCGGTTACCATAGGTGGAAGGACGGGACTAGATGGATTGGGAAACCCGCAATCCAAGACTGGAGGCGAGGAAGGCATACTGATTGATGGTTCGAACAGACCCTGGTAGCGCGGCTCCTCTGGCGAGTGGGAGTTGTGATCACCTGGATCATCACTCATGGGGTACGGTGAAGTATAGTTATTGCTCTGAACAGACGATTCGCGTAGAAGGCTGGGGGCCGCTCTCCCTCTGCGTGGAAGGTCGTGCGATCCAGAGATAGGCGTTGGCGGCCGGACAGGCTCCTCGTTCGAATTCTGGGCAGCAGCGACAGCGGGATTGACAGGGGTAGGACGGTGAATCCGAACAGAGGCAGCTGTACTGGCTGCGACGCGCAAGGAGCTTGGCTGTCTTTCAATGTTGAAGTCAGATCTACCTGGCCAATCCGCTCGATACAGCTTGGCCCGCTTTCGTGGCTGTTGGTCGGCAGATTCATCACAGCTTCCATAACCTGACTGTACCGAACCCCGGCGGCTGGCATAGTGAGCATGCGAAGGCAGCTCAGAATCGCGCATGGAAGCACTAGAGGAAGGGCGGATTTCCCCGTGAGACCTTTCTTGCTGTAGCAGCTGCTGAGGTGCCTGCTGTATTTGAAATTGCTCATGATGTGGTTGGAGTTGACCAGGTGTGGACACCCTGCTCGGAGCGGCAAGCGCGGACTGCGCGGGTGATATAGATCGAAAATTTCCGTTTGGAGCAATCGAAGACAATTCCCTCGGGGTGGACCCTTCGCTGAGTAACCGGTGAAACCGTTCGATTCCAGTGTGATCCATGGGTGATGTTGTGCGGTCAAGGGGTTGTGTGTTGTATAAACCCAGCAGCCCGGGGTTCTGACGAAGGAAGATTGTCCATGATTGTGCGTCAAACTCATGAGGAATGATGTTGCTCAACTCCCGATATTTCTGCATGCTTTCGAGGTATTCGCTCTGCATAACAGTAGGTACTGGTACCAATCGCAGTTTGACCTCCAATGTTTCTTGTGCACCTTTTGAAAAGAGACCGAGCACATTTTTGCACACACGACCCGTGACCATAGTCTTCGATTGATGTGCTGGTGCGTTGGGAGTCGGAGAGGCCGAAGCAAGCACCCATGAGAGCATCCCCTGACCGACTAGCGGCGTCTCATATTCTGAATAGTCATATGCATATACTGTGTAGTCTTGTCCCAGCTTGGCCACCAATTCGGGACTAGATTGTCGAAGGAAGATCCATTAGTATGATTCGACTTGGACTCAAGGAGAGGAATTACCCACCTTGCAGACACAATGGCTTGAATGCACGTTTTCAGCTCGATGACACCAATCTGAGTTTGCTCGTCCAGGGATGCAGTCTGGATATCGAGCAAGTGAGGCCACCGGGCAAGGCAATTCGTTTTACTCTCATCGTCAAATGTGTAGAGTACCTTCACTGCAATCCCGCATTCAAAGGTTAGCATCAACAGACTGTATCTGACAGAGCAAACCCACGCCTCATAGGCCGGACGGATATTCCGTCCTGAGATTCCATGCCACAAGCAATCCAATCTCAACCATAAGCCGAAGGTAGTTGTGAATCCAAAATATGAATTGGAGATAAATGACGTTCGGAGGTTTATGAGGAAGGTGCAAGTGCCTCGTTCAGGTGTGTCGGACGCTGAGGAACAAGGGAGACGCGAGTGCTTTGAACGCGAAGCAAGGTAGGAAATTCGAGCCGAACCCGCTCCTATCAGCTATTCATAGCCAGCCTTGATTCGATCGAAGCTTTGCGTCGACCCGGAGAATGCGCAGGTATGTATGATTATGCAATACGGGACGCGGGGGAAGTCGATTGGAATGTTCAACGTGGGACAAACAGGTAGGGGCTTCCTTCAACCTTATATCGAGTGAAGACACGGTGAAGAAGGAATTGAAGGAAGGAGCGAACTGAGAACAGCCTTTTCGTCGGTTGAGAGCAATATGACTCGTCGAGAAAAGGAAGCAAGGATGTAATTGAGGAGATGGTTGGAGAGAAGAAAGCTAGATATGGGGGAGAAAAGCAAGCACGCCTTGCATCCGCACCAGACGCTGTGATGATCGCCTACAGCGTGTTGAGTGTTTCTGCCGACGCGACGTGACGCAGCCAATCGCGACCTCGGGAAGAGATGCCTGCAAAACACGGCAGAGACGCGTGCCACGTGACTCTCTCGCGCCAAGACTCGACACCAGGCTTGACCGCCTTTGACTAAGAAGCTGCTGAGGGCAGAGAGAGCGCAAGAGAGACTAAGAAGAGAGAAGACCAGAGCAACCAGCCAGTACCTTTTTATACAGCCACCATGTCGACCGATCCCAAGATTCAGTACGTACTTACCCCTCTTTTCCCTCCAAGGCCTCAGCATGAGTCATTGATGGAATTCAATATGGTGTAATTCCGGCCTCAATCAGTTCCGTCCATGCTAACCAGACTGTCTATTCCAACAGGGATTTGCTGAACAAGCCCAAGAGTGAACTCACGTATGTGCATGCTATATTTGACCTTTCATCGTCGCATACCCTATGCGCGAACGCATCGGACTTTGCACACGTCATGTGACAGTCGCCCATGCGACGCTTCCCTACACTTGATCCTGTCCATCCATCCGCACATCCACAGTACCGTGCTATCCCATCTCCTACGGCATTTCTCTGACGTTGTGTTTTTCCAGTGAATATGAGGTCGCCTTGGTAGAAGAACACGAGCTCACAGCTGGCCCCCTGTCTCTTCTCCAAACCGCTACTCGCACCCACACTCAGGTTCTGATCTCCTGCCGGAACAACCGCAAGCTACTCGCCCGAGTGAAGGCTTTTGACCGCCACTGCAACATGGTGCTCGAAAACGTGAAAGAAATGTGGACGGAGAAGCCGAAGGGCGGAAAGGGAAGGGGCGTGAACAAGGATCGCTTCATCAGCAAGATGTCAGTACAGACCTTCTATATGTTACTATGAGTCACAACTCCTAACTCGTCCTACCAGGTTCCTGCGAGGCGATTCTGTTATCCTCGTTCTGCTGAGCTGAATGGCTATCACCCATCCGCATTTCACGTGACGTGCCCGACCAATTTAGCCTGGGGTCCTGCACCGGTGCATCTTTCCTCGTCCGTGCTGGAAGGACACGAGGACGACGCATGATTGACATTGATACCCTTTTTCTCCAGTGGATCGCGAGGCGTCTCTTTGCCCGGTCAGGTTTGAAGGGTGGACCGGGCGAATCTGAGTACGACCCTAGCTCTCTTTCGGGCCGATAGCATCTGTTAACCTCTTTGAGTTCCTCGTCTGGCTTTTGTGCTCATCTCATATGACGGGGTCGATCTGGCGTTTTATGGTTTGTATCTTTGAAAAAGTTAAGAGGTGTAAAGTAGTTTAGTGAGCTGGACGGTGCAAAGGGCCATCATTTTGAACTGGCATCCCTGAATCTGAAGAGAAACTCATTATCAGTAAAGACTGGGGTGATTCCAATCTCCAAGGGAATATCAAGCATGATAAGCTGACCAGAGCACTGCTCTCAAACATTTGTGGTCATCCTGAAGTAGTATTACGAATTCTAGCAGTACTCTAATGGCCCGTGATTAGGAAGTAATGAGGCATAAAACCAAAGCTAGCTCTACGCTTTCGTCGCTTGCTGATATTCGCAGGTTCGGCCCTTATCGCGGAATTATAGGGCAACATGTAGAGAAAGAGAAAACTTCAAATGGCTGGATCCAAATGTAAGTGAAGAGGAACCGTATCTGTACATTGCCTGTAGGTATTTCGTATACCCCTGCACGGTACCACAAGAGATAAAGAGTGAAAGGACAGAAAAACGGCCAAGAACTGGCGCGATGTTCAACCTATATACGCTCTTATGATTAGACATGGGAAAACCATGTTCATGGAGATGTCAAGAAAGTATTTACTTACTCTTCCAATGAATCATCATCTACGGAGAGGAGTCGGGGAATTCTCGATCACCGGCCTTCCGACTCACCAATGATCGCCAGGCCACCGATTTTCTCTCGCATCCGCCTGCAAACTTCTAACTTCGCAGATGCGATCTTCACTATTTTGACTTCATGGCTTTTTTATATGCACTTAGACAAACGATGGACCGACTATAAACGTGGTTGAGGGATTTTATAATCCATAGCCATCATCGGCGAGGCCAGCATTATACAGACCCGGGACCACTTACTACTATCCACTGCAATCAGGGCCAATGATGGAATCGCAGCCAGATATGAATAGTCATCAGGAAGACTCCCTGGAAGCAGCCGAACCTTCTCTAGAAAGAGAAGCTTGGCCTAATGTACGGACAACTCAGACGGCAAGCTCTCAAAGTGTGTTGACGAGACTTTATGTGTCTCACTTCTTGTCGACATGGAACTCACGCATGTTTGAATTCGGTGCTGTCTTGTTCCTTGCTTCTATCTTCCAGGGAACTTTGTTGTATGCCTCGATCTACGCGTTGGTGCGTTCTGCGTCGGCAGTGGTTCTGTCTTCCTGGTTAGGATCCAAGATGGATCGGTCGAACCGCCTGCTAGCGATCCGACACTCCATTGGTAGGTCGCTTCTCGTGCCAACATATTATTACTAAGTTAATGAATGGTTACATGATGGCTTACACTTCGTAGTCTGGCAGAGAGTCCCTGTTGCAGTGTCCTGCGCATGCTTTGTAGCCCTTCTCATGCCTTCATTGCGAGAGTCTGAGCCTATTGTCTCGGGTTTATTTCTTGCAGTTGTCCTGCTCGCTTGCATGGAGAAACTGGCAGCAACAGCCAACACGGTGGCTGTGGAAAGAGACTGGGTACGTCGTAACAAAGTGAATTCTTCTGAGCAACAGACTCTAACGTCGGGTTAGGTCATCATTGTTTCAGACACTCTAGCAATCGAGAGGCAAGGTAGATAACTTAGTATTCTGACGTTATTCTGCATTGGACTGACGCCTGTATAGATCTGAATGCATCGATGAGACGGATAGATCTATTCTGCAAGCTTGTGGCCCCTGTGGTGATATCGCTCGTCGACGGCTTGTCTACAAAGGTCGCGGTCTGGACGGTCTTGGGTGTGAATATTCTTTGTGTCTTTATTGAATACATTGCCATTGCTCAGGTGAGTTCATCGTTGTTCGCCCTTTACACCACTTGAGCCTGACAGGATACCGTATTAGGTGTACAAGGCGATGCCGGAACTCGTGCGGACCGCTTCAGTCCCGACTGATTATGGAAGTGGAGCTGTCGAGGATGCACCCGAACATCCCACGGCGAGCCAACAGAGTTTGATTAAAAGCGCAATTCACCTGGCCAAAGGGGCTGCTTCGCCCTGGCGAGAGTACGCGGCTAGTCCAGTCTTTCTGGCATCCTTTGCCTTGAGCCTGCTGTACCTTACCGTACTCTCTTTTGGCACCACGATGGTCACATATCTCTTGCATACGGGGTTCGATCCTCTGCAGGTCAGCTGTATGAGAATCGGCGCTGTCCTCGCGGAATTGTCTGGCACGTGGGCTGCACCGTTCATCATGGGCAGGATCGGGCCCATTAGGTCGGGACTGTGGTTCCTCAATTGGCAACTTGGCTGTTTGGCGACTGCAGCAGTGGCTTTTGCCTTGTATGACTCGAACTCTCGGCTGGTAGCAGTGAGCCTCATCATGGGAGTTGCTTTGAGTCGGATTGGTCTTTGGGGGTTTGATTTGTCGGTTCAATTTCTCGTTCAAGAGGTAATCGCTTTCCCATCTGAAGGCTGTTATTAAAAGTTGCTAATGTCCATCATGTAGGGTGTTGAGGAAGATGCCCGGGGGCGATTCTCCTCCACCGAAATGGGCGTGCAGAACGTCTTTGAGATGCTCTCATTTGCAACCACAATAGCTTTTCCTCTTCCTGAGCAATTCAAGTATCCCGTCTTTATCAGTTACGGGGCGATTGCGTTGGCAGCCATATGTTTTGCGGCATACGTGAGAAAAGAGAGAGGACATTTGCTGCACATGTCCAAGTGTTGGGGTGGCGATAAAATGCGAAGGTCGTATCAGGCACTTCCTGGAGGCTTATGACACGATCCGTCCAATTTTTCCCATAATGATATGACCAACGCTGTACATACTGAGCTTTACTGTACTACAGGGTTGAATGAAGTATATTTATGTACATGTTGTGATGCTTACTGGAAATGCCTATGTATGTACTCATTATCAACCACGTAAGCAGCATGACATAGGGTATAAATGTAATTTTCTCTTTTACAGCTGTCTGTTCCCAGATAAGGGAGCTGGTATCCTCCTCGTTTGCCGTTGGTAGGGCTATCCTCGGACTTGTGGTGGTGGAGAGCGGGCCGCTCGAACTGCGGGGAAATTCAGTGCTTGTTTATGTGTCTCGCTCGCAGCTGCAACTGCGCGTTGCCCAAGCCAACTGCGCACCATGCCTGTTGAGCAGGGGCAGCCGACTTATTATGGAGGTAAACCACCTGTCTAACCGCCGTTCCTATTCTGGCGACCGTTCTTTGCTTGTGCAGTTTTCAGCTCTTCTGACTGCATCTAGGCTCCTCCCAGAGCACGGGGATTAGGCAGGTCAGGTCCTCGAAGACGATCCGGCTGCCTGACATGTCGAGCGCGAAAGGTTCGGTGTGATGAAGCGAAGCCAATCTGTGCAAACTGTACCCGACTTCGGCTGGGTTGTGTTTACAAGACGATTGTGCCCGCAGCCGTCCCGCGACAGGCTAATGGTCACACAGCTGCTGTGACGGGAAATCCGACCGCAAACACCTTCCAGAGACCAGATGCTAGCTATTTTAGTACGGTGCTACGACCTGATGGGCAGCAGGCCTATCGCGCGCCGCATGCAGCTGACGCTTCGCAATTGCGACCTGTGGATAATGCGGCGACGTCGCCCGGACCATTTGATATGCTTGGTTTCATGAGCGAGATTACGTCCGAGTTGGAGCGCAAGCACCTCGATCTGACCAACGGATTATCTGAATTTACCAATGCGACGTCTGCCAAGGCGTCGGACGGCACTGCAAATGTACCACATACTGATCGATCGATGAGTTGGGACTCGAGTGTTTATTCAAAGGGAACGCAATCACAGTCTCCCGCTGCGGAGGGTATGTGGCCGGAGACTGGAGCCGCGTACGAGGAGCATCTGCTGGCATATTTCCTCAACTCTGAGCCACCGGCGACGATATTCGGACCCGTGAACCTCGAATGGAAATATGTGCGTGAGGTTATCGTAGCGCAATCGGGCGACTTTCGACCTTTGCGGAATAGCATCTACTGTTTTGCAGAGGTGCATAAGGCCATCAAGGAAGGGAGTCAGCCTAATTCGGCATCGACATACCACCAGCAGGCAAGTTTGGAAGGGCAGTCATACTTATTTGGGCACGTGGATGAGCCAACGTTGGTCAAGGTCTTTACCACTGTCTTTCTGCTCATGTTATCTGAAGTATGCAAGGCATGTCCAAGTTTTATGGTAAAAGAAATTGACTAAACGCAGTACAGTCGCTATCATCCCCAGACCTGGGCCGCCATGGTACATCTTTTCTCCACTCAGCTTACCTATTGCTTCAGCGCTTTCACAATCAGATCCAGTCATGGACTGGCTTTGGGCGCCTGGTGGTCTCCTGGGTCTCTCTCCTGGATGTGAAATCGCTGATTGCCGGCCGAGATGGCGATCCTCTGATTGAATTCGGCAGCCTGGCCGAGTTCTCCACCGAGCAAAATGAATCGAGTGGTGCCGTTAGCGGACAATCGTCCACCAGCAGCGGTATTATGGACGATCGTCCGGTAGACAAGAAAGCGACAGAAGATTACCTTCTGTCGAAACCAGGCTATCTTGTCTACGACGCCATTGCGGGGCCCGCATTTCGCTTCTTCGTTCAAGCCCAGCAAATTATCCGGCGGATCGTGTGCATCGACCTCCATCATCGCAGTCGCGGGACGCTGGGGGACGAATTTGAGGTCCTGCAGATCGCCCACAGAGTAGGCGCTGATCTGGAGACTCTATGGAACTGCCGGCCACCAGTGCTGGACGTCTACGACCGGCCTGAAGAGCTGCTTGACCCCTTAAGTCAGTCGGTTGCGGACGAGATATGCCGCACATTCCGACAGTATGTGGCCAACTTTCTGGCGATTTTCATCTATCTGCACCGGGTAGCATTCGCTATTTATCCGCGGACCGATCGAGTCAACCGCGCTGTGGATCAAATCATCCAGCTGGCGACGGCTGAGTCTGCAAGTACGCAGCGACACCTGCCAGTGAGCTTCTTCTGGCCGCTTTTTATAGCCGGCCTGGAGGGTACGTTGACTCAGCGGCGGTGGATCCTGCAGGAGATGCAGCGCATGGTGGGCTGTGATAGCGATGTGACGCAGCGGCATCCCAACGCAAGCAAAGTGCTGTTCCTTCTGGAGGAGATGACGCGGAGACAGGATGCGTCCCGAACCTGGGCAGACTCGCGGTGCGTGAGGCGCGAACTCTTTACTGATTTTTATGTCCTCATATAGCTTAATATGGATATTCGACAAGAAGAATCTTTAAGGTATGTTTGACAGTTAGCGGAACTATTAATTGCGTGCAAACTACATGGAGATTGCTGCAGACGAGCGTTCATATTGACCGCATGGTAAAATATCATACAGCGAGGGAATTAGTCAGTCACAAACTAAAACTGCTTGACCGCTCTCTGGAACCGCTGTGGCTTCCGCATGAACTTTTCAGGCTCATCGCGAGCCCCCTGCTTCCAGTAATCATACTCCATCCAGGCATTCTCTGGCATCTGCGCCTCGGTCGCCTCGATGAAGTCACCCAGATCCGGATTCAGAGGAATCACACCCGTCTCGATCACGTACTGATCCCACAGCTTCAGCAACTGCTTCAACCGCTCGGGATGCACATCAGCTAGGTCGTGAACCTCTCCCGGATCGTCGGCCAGATTGTACAGCTGCCATCGCTCGGGACCTTTGGGTTTTGGAATATACACGATCTTCCAGTCACCGAACCGAAGCGCCGCCCGGCCGCAGGTCTCCCATCCTTGGATGAAGTCCCTCTCGTGAATCCGTTCCGACTCGCCTCGTGCCCACGGGTAGAAGCTCTTGCCGCGCATGGGGACCACTTCGCGGCCTTGGTACGTGGGAGCCGGATGCTTGACTCCGGCCATGTCAAGGATCGACGGTGCGAGATCCATGACCGTTGCGAACTGGTCTGTAATCCCACTCCGCGCCACAAACACGTTGCTGGGGAACCTGGCCAGGAAGGGGACGCGGACGCCGCCTTCAGTGGTGTAGGCTTTGTACAGACGGGACGGGGCGGTGGCGGCCTGCGCCCAGCGCGGCCCGTACCAGATGAACGAATTGGCATTGCCTAGATTCTCGAGGCTGTTGTCGTAGTATTTCTGGAGATGGGGCATGACGCCACTCTGGACCATGGGGTAGGCCTCGTAGGCGGCGCCCTCGGCGCCGTTGTCGGACATGAAGCAGACAAAGGTGTTGTCCAGCTCGCCGATGGAGGCCAGGTAGTCGACGACCTTGCCGACGTTGGCATCGATGCACTCCACCATGCCGGCGTAGACCTCCATGGCGGTGCAGGACTTCTTCTTCTCCTCCGGGGTGTAGTCGGCCCATTCCTTGACCTCGTCCGCAACGACGGGATGCGGCTCCACGTCTGGACGGACCATCCCCAGCTCCTTGAGCCGCTGAAGTCGCTTCAGGCGCAGTGCATCGGGTCCGTCGTCGTAGACGCCGCGGTAATGGTCGATGTACTCGCGGGGCGCCTGGAGCGGCCAATGCGGGGCCGTGAAGGGCAGGTAGGCGAAGAAGGGGCGCTCGTCCTTCCTCTCGTGCCAGTCGGAGAGATACTGAAGCATCTTATCGCCGTATCCGTCGGACGAATACCACCCCTCCGGCAACCGCTTCACGTAGTGATCATCTTCCATGTGGAGAGCGATGTAGCTCGCTTCGAGGAAGGTTGGCGTGCCATCGGACCCCTGGAGCTGGGGCTCGTAGGCATAGTGGTTCGAGCAAGCAGGCAGATGGGCAAAGGAGCGCTCGAAGCCTCGCTTGTGCGGTGAGCGCTCCGGGGTGAGGCCCAGATGCCATTTCCCCGACATGACGGTGTGGTAGCCCGCATCCCGCAGCAACTCGGGTAGCGCGGCGACGCGCTCGTTCAAGTATCCCTCATAACCGGGCATGCCGCGCTGAGGCGCAGTGCTCATCTGGGAGCCCCTGGGTCCGTTCTGACCGGAGATGTTGGTCCATTCGATCAGGTTGCCGAGACCTGCGATGTGGTGGTCTGTCCCGGTCATGATCATGGCGCGGGTGGGACTATAGCGGTTACCCCAGGGCCAAGGGCGCTCGATAATGCTAGAGAAAGGGAACTCACGAACAAGCGGCCGCAGCATGAAAGTCTGTGAAACGTAACCCCCCATTTAAAGCAAGACGATCGATATTGGGTGTGCGGATTTCTCCTCCGAAGCAGCCTACATCGGAGAAGCCCAAGTCATCGGCGACGATGACGAGGAAATTGGGACGGTTATCCATGATAGAGCAACAAGATGGCACCGAGCATGAGGCAGGGAGATCTGATGGGAGGAGGGGAGATGAGGGGAGAGCAGCGCCGCCATTATGTATCAGCTCAGCCACCAGTGATGGTTGTTGTCGCTGTATCTTGTAGACCAATTGAGTTGCGCATTTAGTTGACTTGATAATCCAAAATAGTCCAGTAGGACTACTTGCCAGGCGATCTTCTTTTCATTTGACGGCCATCGCCCATCGGCTGTCGGCTGTGTAGCCACTCCAGGAGTGTACCTGGACACTTGGCTATTGAAGGTCCCTTATTATTATTGGCTCACTGGACAGAACTCCCGTAGTCAACCATCAAATCTTCGTGGGACAAAGCTTTGAGTGGGGTTCTATGCCCCGTCAATGAGAGGACTGCGGGGTGTCCGGATTCGGCAATCAGTGACGCCTCAGATTGTCCATACAGCGTCCACACAGCTGCAATATAGCATTGCTCTTGTCTGTTATCCTCTTCTTTCTTCCTTCAAAATGCATCTTCGACAGTCCATCATGGCGTGATCTCTCCACTCTGTTGCGCAGTCGGCAGTCGGCTAACCATACGTCATCCTGCCCTGACATAATCAAATAGCGGTATGTTGATCAATCTCAGCGTTAAGGCTACACTCACAATGCCATCATTACATTGTTTGGTCCTTTGAATAAGTGATCCTCTGGAACTATGTGATCGGGTATCACCACGTTGATCCCTTCCCCGCGTTCTTACCGGAAGAACCGAGTGTCGCTATCTAATGCAGGACAGAATGTCCTGTTGACACACACACAAAATGAGGTCGTACACCCAGCTCCCTCAACAGGATCCTGACGATTTTGCTATTGTTTCTCCTGACCCCACTGAGCAGACGGTTTCTCGTCTGGCTGGGCTACGCCTGTTCTGGCTGGCAGCTGTGCTTTGCTGTGGTGGTGCGTTGTTTGGGTATGACTCTGGGGTCATTGGTTAGTCCTCAGTCATTAACCCCCCGTTACATTCGGATGCGAGGCTGATGATCTACAGGAGGGGTGCTCACCTTCGAGTCCTTTGCTCGCGACTTTCGATATAGTCCGGCAGACAAGACTCGCGTCAGCTCCATCGCTGTCGGCATCCAGCAGGCCGGCGCCCTGGTAGGCTGCTTCGCCGTCTGGCCCGTGACGAACCGCTGGGGACGTCGTCTCGCCATGATGGCATGCTCTGCCGTTTTCTGCGCAGGGGTCATCCTCGAAGTCGTCAACTCGCACTCGCTGGCCCTGTTCTACGCCGGCCGGGTGATCTGCGGACTGGGTATCGGGGGCTCCGCCACCGTCATCCCCATCTACCTGGCCGAGATGAGCCCCAAAGAGTCGCGCGCCCGCCTCGGCAGCTGCTACCAGTTCACTTACACCATCGGCATCCTCGTCTCGTACTGGATCGACTACGCCGTCAAGTTCATGCCCGCCTCCCCAGCCCAATGGCAGATCCCCATCGCCCTACAGCTCGTCCCCGGCGCCCTCATGGGCCTCGGCACCAGCACCCTCCCCGAGAGCGTCCGCTGGCTCCTCGCCAAGGGCGACGACGCCCGCGCCTACTCCAGCCTGCTCTGGATCCGCGCTGCGTCCTCATCCTCGCCCGCCCTCTCCGCCGAATTCACCCACATGCGCCAAGGCCTCGAGCAAGAGCGCGCCGCAACAGCCAACTTCCACCCCCTCGAGCTCCTCGCCGGCCCCAACGCGCGCCGCCTCCTCCTAGCCTTCGGCCTCTTTCTCGCCCAACAGTCCACAGGCGCCACCGCCCTCGCCTACTTCGCCCCGCAGTTCTTCTCCCTCCTCGTCGGACCCGCCGATAGTGACCGCAACAGCAATACCCCCCTCCTCCTAACAGGCATCTTCGGCGCCATAAAAGTATTATCTTGTCTTCTCTTCCTCCTTCTCCTCTCCGACCGCTTCGGCCGCCGCCCGCTCCTTCTCTCCGGCGCCGCAGCCATGTCCGCCTGCATGCTCGCCACCGCCGCCGTCCTCAAATCCAACACCCCAGCACCCGCTTCACCAGGAAGCATTACGCCAGCAGCCATCGCAACCATCACTCTAATCTACCTCGACATCATCGCCTACAATCTCTCCTGGGGGCCCCTCCCCTGGCCCTGCGTCTCCGAGCTCTTCCCCACGCGCATCCGCGAGCCCGGCGTGGCGGTAGGCGTCGGCGCGCAATGGACGTTCAATTTCGTGTGGTCGTTTAGCACGCCGTTCATTCTGGCGAAAATTAAATGGGCCACGTTCCTCCTGTTTGGGGGGTTGGATCTGCTGATTGTGGGGTTTGTGTGGGTGTGTGTGCTGGAGACTAAGGGGAAGTCGTTGGAGGAGATCAGTGCCTTGTTTGAGGGGGGTTATTCCGCTCGTTTGTCTACTGCGAGGAGGGAGGTCGGTAGTGATAGTGATGGTGATAATGGCAAGGATGGGAGTATACTGCATGTGGAGGCTGGAAGTTCTTCTCCTCAACCTTGAACTAAATAGTATATAACTTAGGGGAGAGAACCACTCTGAATAGTTATTGCATGGTCAATTACCAATAGAGCAGCTAGACACTCTTGTTGCTCCTAGTCTCTCCAGGTATCACCATTGAATGCTGCAGCCTAAGTACCAGTGATAAAGGAATGGCATTGAGCAGGCGTGATTGTTCGCCTAATATACATCTATTATTCATGAATTACTGTCGTCACGAGTACTCCCGGTACCCAGTCGCAGAGAAACCTCCCTTGAGCAAGCCAGCATCAAACCAAACACAAAGCAAAACACAAACCATCCATAAACCATTGTAAGAATGTTACCGCCTAGCATCCTCATTAAACTCCAAATAAGCAATCCGGTTCCTTCGCCAGAAGGTGAAATAGCAAGCAGGCTAATCCGCAGACCCTTGTTTCCATACTTTTCCTAACCAGGCGCCAGTATGGATCGTAGTAGTAGTAATAGTCATCAAAGCAAAGCACGAGGTCATTGTCACATCAGGGGTTGAAAAAGGCTCAAACGTTGATCAAATCGTCAAAGCTGTCGTCGGTCGAAAAGGCATAAGAGTTCTCCGTCAGGACGGACGCCTCCGAGTCCCGACGGACGGACGGGTCCATGGACTCACCCGAACGAGATGGTTCTAGGTGCAGCGGGTCATCAAAGCCAAAGGACAGCGCCTGCTGAGGTCGTGGGGTCATCGGCCCTTCGGAAGACGATGCTGCTGCATCCGCCACGTCGGTCAACTCCGGGGCCGTTGTGTCGCTGTAGGTAATCTTCTTTACCATCTGTGCTAGATGGAGCTTGATCGGCTCATCTCCGCATTGAGCGTGCTTCAGGACTTCGTTCTTCAGTCCCAGAATCTCCGAGCGCAGGCGGGCAATCTCAGACACCAGTTGCTCCTTCTTGTCCGACTGCTCCCTATACCGCGACTCAAGAAGCTGTGTATGCTCTTTCTTCTTCTGCCGACATTTGCTGGCGGCCAATCGGTTGCGTTCCAGGAACTTCTCCCGCTTCGCCTTCTCCTGCTGCTGTTCGTTGTACTCGGCCTGGGTCATCTTGAAGTCGCGGACCTTGCGACGTTTGGAGCTGCCGCCGTTGCTGTTTATGGCGGACTGCTCACAGAAGCTTCTACGATCGCTATGAGTCTGGAAACTCTGTGTTCCGTTGGGGAATTGGCACTGAGACAGCGAGTATAGATCACCGACCGTGTGAGTCTTGTTGTCACCATATGGAGGTGGAGTAGGCTGGCCATTGCGGACATGGGAGTGCTTGAGGTCGCGTTCAAGGTTAGGATTGGAGAACATCTGTTCGCGCTTTCCGTTCCACGAGGGCATGGAGGAAGAGATAGGACTCATACTCCAGAGATGCTCTTCGTCAGGGAGAGACAGTCCAAGAAAGTCACCGGGGAAGGCATTAGGAGGAGCAAAGGGAGAGGGGCCAGGATTGACAGCATCGGGACCAGGCAATGCAGACCGGCCAAAGGCGGATTGGTCCGGTAACATATTGAGGGTCGACATCGGGAGCGAGGGTTGCACGATGCGTCGTACAAGGGGGTTTCAGCTGAAGAGCACGCCACTGATAATGGTATTTGAATTATGTATGGAAGAGAGAAAGCTGTCAAGATGATCTTTAAAAAAGCAAGACAGAAAGAAGAAGAAAACAAGAAGAAGACGAAGCAAGAGTTAGATATCTATAACAGTAGTGGATTGATAGAGCGGCAGTGTAAGTGGCGGGCCGAGAAGTGACAGCTCGATCCGGACAAACAATCAGAGCGGGAGGGGCAGCAGGAAGGTTTTTGCTTGAGACCTTTTTTGTTTAGAGGCAAGAGACAAGGTAGCTGCAGGGGGAGAGGACGGATGGAAAAGGAGTACCGTAGTTGGTGGTAGAGGCGTACGTGGATGGACTTATCCAAGAGAAGGAAGGAAGGAGAACAAAGCGAATAAGAAGGGACAGGAGAATAAAACCGCGGTTGGTGAGGAGAAGACGAAAAAGGGAATTGGCGCAGATGCGTCTAGAATCCACAGAGAAGCCCAGAGAACGAGAATTGAGAGAGAGGGAATGGAGTGGTGTGTGGTCAGATCCGAGTTGTTGCAACCAGGGGAGCGCAAAAAGCATGGAAGGAGAAACAAAGTGGGGAGTGGCTAGACAAGAGGAGACGCTGAAGAACAGGAGATCTGTCTAAGGGAAGAGTTGATGATGATGAAAGAGAGAAAGGAAGAACAAGTCTTGAGGAAACCAGACAGAACCACTTCCATGGACAGATGAGTGATTGACAGTCGTTGTCTTGAGGTTGAGACTGCGATTGTTTGCAATTGCAACTGCCACTGCCAATGTGGAAGTAAGAGAATCAATCAGGTACTGGTCAGATAAACAGTGCACTTATTCTGTTTGATAGACCCCTTATATCTTCCTATAATATAGTTCCCTGTTTCTGTCTCTTCAACAGGGAGTAGTAACGAGGTACGTATCCATAGAACAGGCTGTGGTTATAAGACACCAGAATGAAAACTTGTATTAACCCAATGAGGAAATATACATGGGAAATATACATGCGACAGCGTTGTCTATCTACTTGAAACCCTCCATGATGATATTGATGGCCACATCGACCAGTCCTGTTGGTGGACGAGGATCTCGACCTGTGAGAACCCAGAACCGGGTGGACTTTGTCAAGATGGGAGGGGGATCAACTCTTTAGCTACGGACAATCCGAATGGAATTGACGGATGTTGAGGAGTTGAAGATGGTCGGTAGGGGGCCATTATTGGCTGGGACATCGCGGAGGGGAGGAACATTTATTGACTGGAGAACCATAATAACGATAGCTAATATCCACTGTTTTCCCTGTTTCCCAACCGCCTTCAGACAGGGGAGGATCAAGGGCAGAGGCCCTGATCCAAGAACAAAAGGTACTTCGTAGTATGTATCTATCCGCGGAAAAGCAACGTACTTTGCTTACACTCGACACCTGTGGTACTTCCACATCCAGCTAGGATATATGAGAGGTACTTTCCTAAACAGGCAGGGGCACCATCGCTCTCTGCTCTGATTGGGCTGAGTTTTATTCCGGACCCCAACCCCACCATAGCTGGAACATTGTGACGTCATTTAGAGGCTGACTCCGCGTTTTGTACGCTGATTCGCCACTCGCCTTCACTGATGGTTGTCCTTACCTGGTTAGGTGGCCCTGGTTAAGGTACTGGTATACCCGCAAGTACCTCTTACTCGCAGCCAGATACTCAGTAGTAGACACTTCCAGCCTTCCACCCTTGCATCAGCACGTGCATATTTCATCATCTAATATGAGATATGACAGCTCTCCAATATTCCATCGTTGCCACCTCTCTCTGTGCACAGCTAACTCACACAATCAGGATCCCACAGACGCCAGATGGTCAAGTTCTCAAGCTGAACACTGGTACACCGTACACACACTCTCAACCATGGCAGTCCTGCTGTCAACCTGCCACTCACCCCGTATAACCATGGATTTGGCCAACATCCGAAGAAGGAAAGGAAATAGATAGATAACTTACGGTTCAGAACATTCATGGTTCGAGGTTCAGGTTCAGGCCCAAGGTATGATGTTTATGATCACGTCATCTCCAGCATCCCACTCCACTCACAAGACCTCGACTTTTATCTGTAGATCCTCCACTGAACACTATCAAATATCAAGATAAACCGACAAGTACAAGGGACAGAGACAGTCGAGACACGCGTCCCAGTCTCGAGCCCAGCGAGCCCAGAGCACAGAGCCCGGAGCCCAGAGCCCTCATCCGACTCCAAAATCAGGTTTACCCTACATCCAAGGGATCATCACCTCGTCGAGACCATCTACCAATGTCCATATTTCTGGTCCGCATCCCGGAATGAGTCCCGTCTAGGTAGAGTACAGCAGTAGACTACATCTGCCGGTCCAGAAACCCGACAACTCACCGTTCAGCGATCGGCATCTGCTCCACCCTCCGGATCGCTTGTCCTCGTCCAATGCCCAGGGGGCCAAAGGGCACTCCCACTAGCGGTTTCATCCTCCAACCCTCCAGCTCAGCTTATTCAATTCCAATTCCAACTTCAGGAAATCGGATCTCAACCTTGGGCTGTTTCTTATCCTAGCCAACGAACCTGAGCATGTCAAGCTGGCGACCACTCCATAGGTACCTCGACCCTTGTTGTTCTCGTTTCACATACTTTGACATATATACATACATCCGATCCATATACGGAGTAAACTAGCCCAGGGCTCTGTCTGGAGTAGAAACTTGTGGACGTAAAGTATGGTCGGAGCTTCCAGATACGGATAGTGGATAGTGGTTGAGATGATATATCCTTGTCAAACGCTTGATCCGGGACCTGATCGAACTTCAAGAGGGTCTGCTGAACTACCCACAAGCTAGATATAAGGTATGAATCCTGCCAACAGCTGTGACCGCGGCGATCTACATTATAGGGTACTGGCCTGACCACCCACCAATGGCGTGGACAGTACTGCCATGTTCCTTGTCCATACTACAGTCGTACTTCCGTCAGGGGTAAAGAGCAGGCAAGCCACTTGTGTCATCATGATAGAAGGTACTGCTGGAGATCGTCTTTTCCCCCGCATTCACTCTTGTCTACCAACCAATTCAGCTATTGTACACGAATCCCGATGCCCTTGGCTGTCCGCCGTCTCATCTATCGAATGCCTAGAAGGGATCGTCTAGTCGGGCTCCACGGCGGCTCAGCCTGACCAAAAGCCAAGCACCATCAGGTTATATCAACAAATCATTCTACAATGTCCCAGAGTACTGCATACACAGTCCAGAATCGCCCCGTGTCCACAAGCCGGCCCGTGAACCAAGCACGGATTGATGATCCATCATCTGCTTCCATCCAAGCTATTCCGAACCCTCAGACGACCAAGATATTGTAAGTCGCTCTGGCACGTGCACTTGATCCTCCCAGACCCGCAATTGGCGGCTCACCGCTCGCCAGTTCGCAATCAGCATCATCGCCACATA